TGGACCTGGGCCTATTCCTCAGTAAGCCCTGGTCACTCTTGATGGGCTTACTCCCGCTCGGCCCATATGGCAGTGTCTTTTTATGGGCTGACCCAGCTGTTCGGACTGAAGGTTGTGTTTTGCGAGTCGGACCTGGCCCATGTCATCCAGGGCCTCCTCACTTTGATAAGGGGAAGCTCTGGATCGGCACATCGATTTCTGCAAGAACCTTCGACCTTGAGTCTGAATTCTAATGCTATAGAGCATTCGATCTTCGCCATGGGACGGCTTCTCAGGAGAAGTTTGGATTCTCCGAGAACTCTCTGATCGACACCGAGTAGTCCTCTTTGAGAGGTTAGTCGTCCAACCTCACTGCTTCAATCGGAAAATTGATCCTCTTCTCTGTGTCGGTGATCACCATTGCAAATTCAAAGGTAACTTTGAAACAGAGGAGTGTCCTCAATGTGGCTGCATGTGGATTACCCATGCAGCCACATTGATTCAAAGGTAACTTTGAAACAGAGGAGTGCCCTCAATGTGGCAAGCCTCAAGGGAGGGCGACGTAATTTTTTAAAAATTCATGGGAACCGTGTGTTATAAGGCCTTAACTTGGGTGAGGTTTGTGTATTATCCCATACAATGAGGGTACCACTTTAATTAATGCAACACAATAAGGACTTGAATAAATGTATTATATAGGAATATATATATTTATCACTGACAGTTTAATTTGGTCTTTTTGGATTCCAAATTGCAACCAACCCATAATCAACAGTTTTTTACAGTACAAAATCAAACTGTTGGATTAATAGCATATGCTGTATTTCGTTACCTTTTCAACTAATATATAAGGATTTAACATTTGTATGGTCTTTTTTAAGCCTATTCATTTATTATATATGAACAAACAAAAATAAAATGTACAAAATTTACTAGGAAAAACTACACAAATTCTTAAAAAAATGGTGGACTTGAAAGGATTCTTCATTCCTCCCCCTATCATTCCCCTCTTATTCTCTCCTCTACCAAACAATAAAAATTTACTCTAAACCTCTAATTAGGTCAACTTGTCATGTGGTTTAGTTAAAAAACAATGTTATAGCGCATCACTTGTTGGCACTGGTCTTCAATGTATATATATAATCACTAAACAGAGGAATATATATAGATATAAACAATAACTAAAAATTGATATGGCTTTTGAATTTTGATATATGAGTAATTTAGTGTCTGAGTGTAGGTGAATATATATATATATATAACTTTAGTGAGTATGAGTCAATCTTATGCTATCAATAATCTGTTTATCTCCTTTTCACCCATTTTTTCTCCATGTATCCTAAAATTTCTATTTACTGAATTTCATCCTCTTCCTATGTTAGAAATACGAATGACGTTGCTTGGATATGATGACAATAGGTGATTTTATTGTGGCCAGGATGGAGTGCTTGATGAGTGATCGTGCCATGAAGATGGTACAACTTGCTATCAAACTTGGATACGATGATAATAGGTGATTTTATGATGATGTTAGAGTGCTGCTGCTTCTTTTTTCATCTACAATCCAAAGAATATACCAAAATTTTACTGTGGATAAACATTTTTTTGTTACCATACTTGTATTCTTCAATTTCTGCAAATGAAGACGTAGAATGTACCAGTTCATCGAAGATGAAGACGTAGAAATGCATAATATTGTACCAGTTATAGTGCATCAAGGATTCAAGATGCAGCACACTATTTTGATGCTGTAATAGTAGTACTTGTGACTCTGGAACATTTTAGTTGCATGAATTGATGTTTGTAATGGCAGTACTTGTGACTCTGGAACACTTTAGTTGCATGAATTGATGTTGTAATGGCAATACTTGTGAATCTGAAACATTTTGGTTTGTAATGGCAGTACTTGTGACTCTGGAACATTTTAGTTGCATGAATTGATGTTGTAATGGCAGTACTTGTGAATCTGAAACATTTTGGTTTGCATGAATTGATGTTGTAATGGCAGACTTGTGAATGTGGAACATTTTAGTTGCATGAATTGATGTTGTAATGGCAGTACTTGTGAATCTGAAACATTTTAGTTTGCATGAATTGATGTTGTAATGGCAGACTTGTGAATCTGGAACATTTTAGTTGCATGAATTGATTTTGTCCCCTTGCAGCTGCTCATTCCAGTGAAGAGCTCCTTGACTGCCATTTAATCTATCGAGATTCATAATCCTTGGTCTTCAAAGTTTTTTTCAAAACGCGTCTACAAAGTCAAGCGATGTTTCTCTTCTAGGTATTGTGGGACATGACCCCGAGACTCTAGAGTTGTGCATTACAAAAAAAATTAAAATAGTATAACAAGAAATTGGATGAAGTCTAACGAAATGAATGTCAGAATTGTCAGATATTCTCTTCACAATAAATTTTTGAACTAACCTAATACGTGATTTGAGTGATGTACTTATTCTGAATTAGGTAAGTAATAATAATTTTGCTAAATTGAGATTGAGAGAAAAGTGATCTCACCTCGTTCTTAGTGGATAATCCAAATTTTATGTGTTCTCATTCGTGAATAGGACAAATTAATTTGCTTAACCATAATAAAAGTGTGTCGTGTGTCGTTTTATAATTGTTCATTACTTAGAATTAAAACTTGCTATAAATTTGGTTATGCACAATAAGTAGTATCACATCATGGGTGACCATATCATATGATTCTTAATAATTAATTAAAAGTAAATCAATATAATAATACCACTTCAATAGCTCTAGAAGTGTTTTAGGAGTTGAAAGACATAGTTAACAACTCTCTTGACCATACACAAATATTTTATTCAAAATTTATGCAATCTACTTCTTCTCATATTAAATTATTAACTGCTAACAGATCCATTATTTATTCAATCTACTCTTAGTGGAAGGTGTTTCTATGATGCTAACAAATATATATATATATATATATAGAATAAGAAAAAAGACCGTTGGATATTTTAAAATTTTAATCAAGAAATAATACAATAATAAGAACTTGTTAATGCTTATGCTATAGGCTACATAGGTAGCCACATGTTCCACATAAAATAAGCGTCTGTTACACTCCAATTTATGTATTATAGTAAAAAAAACGCAATCATACTGGCTTAAATGTCAAGGCCAAGTATGTCTTCCGCAATCTCAAAGTGGTGTCTTCTAACGTACGCCTACGTGGTGTTTCCCCAGCACCCACTCCCATTGACAAAGTCAACGGCGGGTTCACATGTAACATGACTTTGCAACATTGCAACCATGAAAGTGGATGCCCTCCGATACATTTATTTTGAGCACGCAATATTACATTTTTGAAGTAAACAAATGTTGTCCAAGGGTATCTCTAATTCTGCAGGTATAAGTTATCTTCCTCAAAAGAAAGGTTGAGAGTTCACTCTTAACCTTTAAGTACGTTTAATTTATAGAGTAATGATACTTTATTTAATCAAATTGACCTATTCTTAGATTGAATTATACGTGTAAATACAACGTAATTATCTAAATTGTTGATATTTTGTTTGGGCACTAAACATACCAAAAATAAATATAGAAAGAAACTAAAGAGATTTTGAAGACCCCTCTTTATCTCTCTGATTTCTCCATTCCTCTTTTTCTTGCTTCCTTGGTTCTTTCTCTCGCATCCATTGCGTAATAAACTTTTGAAGTTTTTTTTAAAAAAATCAAATCCCCAAAACTGATACAATATACAGAAGCCTAAATATATATTGAAAAAAAAAAAAAGGATATTAGGGTTTTTTTTTTTTTTTTTTTTTTTTTTTTTTATAAGCAAACATATATGTTTATATGTATTTTCTCCTTTAATTTTATAAACCAATAGAGACTTCTCAATACTTTGTTTTCCTTTCAATTTTGCAAAGTAGAAAAGAGAGAACCGTGAGTTAAGAAGATGAATGGAGAAATCAAAGAGATAGAAAGGGATCGTCAAAACTTCTTCAACTTTTTTTCATATTTATTTTTGGTATCTTTAGGGCGTAAATAAAATATCAACTATTTATATAATTACGTGACTATTACATGTAAGATTTAGACTAAAGAGTAGGCCAATTTGATCGAACAGATTATCATTACTCTTCAATTTAACTTCTAATATATATATATATTGTATTTTCGAATGAGTATTAATTACATTCTCGAAATAATGATATTGCACAATAAAGTATGAAACTTATGAAATCATATCATATGTTGCATAAATCGGTAAGACTGCAAATGAATCGTATTGTTAGTGAATAATTTGGATTTATTTAAACTAAAATTCTAATTAAAGCTCCTTTGTTTAGCAAAGAAGTCTAGCTTAAGCTTATTTTTTGAGTTGGTTTGATAAATAAGATAGATTTAGGTTTCGCAAAATGTTTTGAAATGTGTTAATGAACAAGTGTGTTAAGATTGTGAATTCAATTTGTTTATTCAACATTGTCTGCATTTATAATACAGTACTCTCCTTATCAATCTTAATATAAATAAAGTGAATTCAACTTTTGATTTAGCTTGACGAGTTAAATACGATTGCTTGTATGAGAGGCCGACTGGATATTGAACTCGAGTTTTGAGTTTAATTTTCAAATTTTTACTTCAACCTTCAAAATATCAATTTGGCTCATTTGCAACTCTAATGCGGGACACTAACAAAAATTAAAAACATAAAAGAAAAAAATACTAATAATTGAGTTATTGTATCTTCAAATTGTGAATTAAAATTTAAAATTTATTCCTAGTTCAAAATAAGAGAAAAAGAAAAGAAAATTTTAAATTTTTTACATTGTATTTATTTTCCCTCATTGAACTTGTTAACCCAACATAACCTAGTTAAACAAAATGGTTACCCATTATAAAAAGAGAAATTACCATTTTGATTACTTTTTCTATAATAGTAATTATTCATTCGATAAATATTAAATAAAGTCCATGGGGCTTGACTCTTGTTGTTTTGTGTGATGACGCATATATATATATATATAACGCTTCACTAACGTCGTGCGTCCTAGTTTCTCAGACAAGGAAAAAGAAAAGAAAAAAAAAAAAAACTGAAGAAATTAAAACCAGAGCGTCGCATTCTGTCTTAAATAAAACAAAATCACCAGTCTTTAATCATTTTGGTGCAAAATAAACAAGCTCCACCAGTACTGGACCAACTGTCTTTCTCTCTCTAAACCCCACCTCTCTCTAAAACTTCTACCATTACTTGTTGCAGAAGCTCAGATCTGAACTTCAACCTGTCGATTAATCTCATTTCCACCTCCAATGGCGACGACGGATAGTCAATCCTCTCACTTTGTGAAGTAAAAAGCTTTTACTTCTACGGTACTCTCTCTCTATATTTATATATAATGTATTTCGAGTTCGTTTATTAGGTAATCTTCTTTTATTATGCGTATCATTTACAGTCAATTCATGCTGGTAATCTGAAATTGGTTTAGCATTATAGTGTGACACTGAAATTTTACATAAAAATCCGTATAATTAACTCTGCAATTCTGAATCTTAAAGACTGAGAGTGCTGAAAAATGTATGTTTGTTTTTACTGTTAATTTGCTTGATTGAATGAATACTGAATAGAAAATGTGAAGTGGGAAAACTTTGCTTGAAAATTTGTAATTTAATAGATTTGTGGTTCTGAACCCTAGTCTTGTTTGCAGATATATTAGGTGAATTAGTGAGTGAAATGGCGAAGTCTAGGCATCCTTTTCCGGCACAAGATGTGTTGTCATCTTCACCCACTGCCGCGAGATCGAGGGAATGGGAAGGCCCGTCGAGGTGGACTGAGTACTTGAGTCAAGAAAGTGCTTCTACAATGGCAAGTAGGACATCTAGGAATGGGGGTTCTGAAAGAGTGGTGCAGAGTTCTGGTGGGTCTCATAAGGGATTGAACTTGCAGTGGGTGTACCAGCTTACTGCGGTTGCAGAAGGGCTAATGGCCAAGATGTATAGATTGAATCAGATATTGGACTATCCTGATCCTGTGAGCCATATGTTTTCAGAGGCATTCTGGAGAGCGGGCTTGTTTCCAAACCATCCAAAATTTTGTATCCTGCTCTCAAAGAAGTTTCCTGAACATCATAGCAAGTTACAACTAGAACGTGTAAGGATTGAAATCATTTTATTATGTACATTTTTTCTTCTTGTTCATAAAAATGGCTCGGAGAGATTTTTGTTTATTGGTGAGATCATTGTTGTAGGTTGACAAGGTTGCTTTGGATGCTTTGAATGACCATGCCGAAGTTCATTTTCAAAGCTTGGAACCTTGGGTTCTGGTATGATTCAACTTTCTTTTTGCCACCTTGAGCATGTCAAATCTAAGAATATTTGCAAGTTTTAGTTAATGCTGGTCTACAATGGCACGGTACTGCTGTTTCATCTCATTGGTTTTATATAAAAATTTGAGCCTTTATTTCAAGTCAATAAACTTGTTTTTTCCCTCAATTTTATTCTTAGAAGATTTAAGGGTTTGTGTGCTTCAGATAATAGGAAGGAAATGAAAAAACCCCGAGAATCTTATCCAAATCATCAAAAGGAGATTATATATTCCAAAGTCATCTTCCAATAATATAGTCATATTCATGCTTTAGCATCCTTGGGTGGCAAGAGCCAAAGTACATGTGAAATATGCCACTGTAGTTAATGGCAAAAGGTGCCCTTAAGGTGCTGAGATCCAGCATTCCCAAAGGTGCTACGTGAGTGCTTGTCTAAGTGAAGCAAGGCACTAACATTTAAAATAAATCAATAAACATTAAATACAGTAAACTTTGAAAGTTTATGCTAACAAAATCTTATTGTTATCATAGTAAATCTTGTTAAACAACAGTAAGTTCCACTGACTGTTCAATATATCATCTAGTATAATCAACATAGTAACTATAATTGGTCTAAGATTATTGTAACCCATATCATTCAAACATCCAAATTTGTCACTTCAAATGACATACATTTTATTTTATTTTATTTTTTTGTCACTTTAAATTAAACAAATAACAAAAAGACCTTAACATACCAAAAACTCTGGAATATAAATTACAAATTGTTAAGGGGAAAAAAACTTAATTAATGAGTATGTGCGTAAAAGAGAAAGAAAGGCTCTGTACAGATGCTCAACTCAGCAAAGTCTTTTCCCAATTACTGATGATTGGCTACATAAATCAATTTTTTTTTTTTCATTTTGCTCTATCTAGGCCATACCCTCAGTCAAACCACATGTTAGGATTTACATTTATGTTGATCTTAAAAAAAGTTTTGTGCTGGCTGACATGTTCATATTTGTTTACAGTACAAATGCTTTGTACAAAAGCATGTATAAAAAAGATTAGAGGGACTGCTATATTTTGTATTGAATGAGTACACGAATGTTTTACATACTATTTCTTTTTTCCTAGTTCTCCTAGGTTTAGGACTCCAAATTAGAAATTTTGAACTTCGATTAACCAGATCCACATAAACTTTCTTAAGGCCATTAACAAAGGCAGACTAATAAAACTAATCCAAATCCGCGGACCACTGCTACAACTTAGTCCCCTAATATATGACTTTAACTTGATTTTTTTTGGGTAGGTTCTCATTCACACACATTCCACTACGGGTCCAACTTAAGCGGGTTGGGCGGTCAACATAGGCCCAACCTAAACCCAAGGTATAATGTCTCTCAACTCGAGCAAAACCCAACGTGACCATCAACCCAAACTCCCCGTTCTGAGCCTAACCTACCTTAAAATTTTTGAACTCAGGTTAGAAAAAGCAGGCTAAAAAAAACTGGTTGATCTCGAGCTAGCCTCAGGTTGGATTACTCGTATGCATAATAAATTTTAAATTCTTAATGCAGATATACAAAAATTATGAACACATTCTCAAGAAATAAATTCCCCAAATGATTAATATACAATAAATCAAGATTTAAAGAAAATTAAACAAGAAAATAGTCATATTAGAATGAGGGTTGTGGTTGAGTTCGGGTTGTCGACTCCCCAACCCAAGACCAACTCAAATTGAGTGCAAATTTAACTTTTTCAGCCCTAGCCCAACCTTAATTGTAAAATTGATTGCCGAACTTATGAAAAATCGGATTGGACATGGTTGGGATGGCTTATCCAAGTTTTACCCTAACATAGGAGATACTACATGAGCTAAAGGCTTGCTGGTGACTTCTAACTTGATTAAACATAAGAAACATTATTAAAGCTACATCAGCAACAAAACAGTTTTAAAAGTAATAAAACAAATAATATACATGGCACTATAAAGGACAATGTTGCCTACAACTAGGTTTGTGGTGGGAAAAGGTAATTGAAATCCAGTAGTTTATGGTTTTATGACACAGAAGGAAAGAAGTACGCTTTGTGGATCATGAGGATTAGAGTTGGATTGTTTTTCTGGAAGAGAGAATGCCGTAATTTCAGAATGTTGTTAGAAATTATTGTAGCTACTATTTTAGGTTTGTTAAAAATTTGGATACCAACTATCTTGTGCATGTTAAAGGCTAAATAAGAAAAGGGTTTTGGTTATAAAATTATGGTCTTGACATGAAAAACTACATAAATTATACTTATTTAAAGAAAAACTAAATAAACTATGGTAGTTGTGATCAAACAACAATGTATGATCAAAGGAGGCAGAATATTGACTATTAAACTAAAGATCACTAGTTAAATGTCCGTCCATATATTTTAACAAAAATCTCCTTGACCGAACAAAACTTTAGAAGACAAATATATGCCAGCGGCATAAAAAGTTCAAGTCAACATAAAATAGACATTGGCAGTTTCCCACGGACAAAAAGACTTCTTGACTGTAGTAGGGCCTTCTATCCTTTCCTTGGGCTTCTACAACTTATCTTGTACTCAACAAATCAACAACAACAACAACAACAACATCAGTAAATTCCAATTAGACTACAACTTGGTTGTGTAGGTTTAAGTTGGTCCATGACCAATTAATCTTATTTCTATCTTCTTTCGATCTGCACTTCCTTCAGTATCTTACACACTTGGTCAATACCATATGATTCTTTGGGTAGATGGATATAAACTTGAGCACAATTTTTATTTTCTTTAAACTTGTGCATACAAACTGTTCCATTTCAAATTGTAGAAAGGGCATTACCAAAGTTTGTCCTTTGTATAGGGAGTCTGGGAGGGATGAATTGGAAAAATGGGCAACTTAGTGCATGAGGATCCTGCCACTACTGGGTCGGGGGAGGGCTAAACCTCCGCATGCTGAGAGGTTGTTTTCCATTTCAAATCCGCGACCACTAGGTCGCAATGGAGCAACGCTACTGGGAGGGATAAACTGAACATTTATTTAATCTTTGGCTTGTTTTGCACTAATAGGCTGTTCTCTACTCGAACTTGCATTTTATGCTTGGCAACCCAAACTTGTACAATCGTAGCAAGCAACAATCCCTTGAGTTTTTAGAGTGTATTAGCATTATTGATTCCAATTGGTTGAGAAAAAAGGAAGTAGCTTTCTGTGTAAGCTTAATGATCACGAACTATATTGAGTCTTTTGTTGATACAATACAAGTTATTTCAAAATATTTTGTTTCTTCTTTGAGAAATCCGTGTCCTATGGAGTATGAAACAATATAACACTTTTGTAAACAAATCAAGTGATACTTGTGGTGCATGATGGTGGAAGCAACTTCATTTTTTGTACATCTATTGTTTCTTTTCTTTTTTACACTACTTTGTCATTGGAGTGCCTTTGGTACTAATTTCTTGGTGAAAATTTTTGCAAGCTTTGATACTATTGAAGATTTAATGGAGGAATCAATGGAGGAAAATCTTTCAGTAATTGATGTTGTTTCCTACTATTGAAGATTTGGTGTTACTAGAGGAATCAGAGGAGAAAAATCCTTGTTTCCTATTTTCTAATTCTTTCTATTCTCATAATTTCTTCTCCTATATAAATGAGCCTCCACCATTGTATTGTGTATGAATTGAGAGAGTGTTATAAAAGTGATGTAGCCCTTTGGGCTCTTTGTGTCGTAGATGTACACGTAATATTTGTGTGTTCTACTTGTTTTATTTATCTCTTCGCTTCCGTTTTATGATTTCAACAGATACAAATGAGATCTGTACGTTAACTTGAAATAAATTTTTTTTTTGTTTGAACTAGCTACTTGTTGACTTAATGGCATTTCGAGAACAAGCTCTGCGACTCATATTGGATCTAAGCAGTACAGTAATTACCTTGTTGGTAAGTTGATAATCATTTCTTGATCACCATTGCAAAATCTAGATTTTAGATGTTTTTGTAACACAAACATTAGAATACTGTTGGTGTTTGACCTGATATGCGGTGTTTGTCATGGGATCTCAATAACCAAATTGTTTTAATTTGTAACTATTTCTGTGCTTGTTCGTGTCTGCCACCACTTTTTAAATGTCATCAACATTCAAGGAAGGCTAGGTTATCCACAATTGGTATGTCAAGAAGGAAAGCATATATTTCTATATTTCTAATGGTTATATAAACTTCTTCTGCAGCCCCATCAGAACTCGCTTATACTACATGCTTTTATGGATCTCTTTTGTTCCTTTGTTCGCGTTAATCTCTTTTCTGAGAAGGCAAGTCCTCATTCCATGTAACCATTCACTGTTATCCTTTTCATCAATGTTATTTCGGTGACTATTTCTTAAGTCTATCCTAGTTAAATATGCATGAATCAGGAAACTTGCATGCATGGATGTGCTTTAATTTCTTTAATATATTTTATATAATGCTTTCATCACAGATACCAAGGAAAATGATGCTGCAAATGTACAACCTTTTGCATGCCATGTTGAGAAATGACAGAGACTGCGACTTTTATCATCGGTAGGATATATTTTCAATAATCTCTTCAGGCTTTTTTAAATGGGTCTGCAATTTTGACCTTGAAGTATCCACATCTTTATAAAAATAATAGTATGTTTGGTATATGACCTAATGTAGTAGTTTACTTATAAAAAATAAATAAAAATGATCTAATGTAGTATTCAAACAATGCATTGTTATCCAAAGATATCATGTTTTTACATGAAATACACGAGGAGAACTTTTCTATTGCTCCACTTGAGCTAAAGAATAAAGCAGTTATGATTTATGAATCCATTCTTTTCACCTCTTGCACTAAACGCTCCTAGGGGTGTGAATAAACACAATAACTGTAAAAAGTGCAAACATTTGTATTTTGTCCTCTTCTGTATTAAGACATGAAACCTGTTTCTTCTGAACATCAGGATGCTATTCCATGCTTGAACAATTAGGTGGCTTAATACCTGGGGATGATTTCTTTAAATAAGCTGCAAAAATTTGTCCCTTTTTGATCTTGTAGTGGCAACAGATTAAGGGATTATATTTTGATGCATATTAATTTAGAAGTGGAGGTCAGATTTGACAAAATATGGTTGGTATTTCCTCTCCTTTCAACCTGAAAGGTAGAGGATTCGAGTCTCCCCAAGAGCATTGTGGGAGTTATTGTCAGGGGAAAAAAAAAAAATAAGGTGACATATTTGATGATGTGATACCTTAACCAGGAAAAATTCTAATTAGCGTTGATCAAAGCCAATCTTCAGGCCTTCACTTCCAAATTAGGGTGCGTCATCTCCCGTATGTGAAAAGTTGTTCAATAGCTAGAGTTTAAAGTATTGATGTAATCCCATCATTACTTATTTGAATTTATTGTGGGCGTATTTGCTGACCTTCTCTATCATATTTAACAATTACAAATTATCCTTGAGGTTTTGAAATTACTTTTCGCTCCATTCTTTTTCCTTGTCAGTAATAGATTTTCCCCTCCGTCAGCAACCCTATGGTCAACAATGGATAAACAGAAACTGACTTAACTCGAAGAATTAGATACCTACTCTTTTTTCTAACTTGAAGCAAATTGTCTCAATGAGCCTAATTCACTGATGACCTACCATCCCCTCCACCAATCCCGCCACTGTTGACTTGAACAACACCTCAATTAACGTGGCTTTCAACTATTTTTACCTACAATCATCCTGAGTACCACCACTCTCATGGGCCTCGCCACTGTGTTGAACTTCTCAAGCATTACAATCCACCATCAACATAGATTCCAAGCCGCCATCTCCACCGATGTATTTGTAACTACATATATATAGTAATTATATATGTATAAACTCATACATAAGTATGCATAAGCAGATTCTATTTCCAACTCCTAAAATATATACTTGAGACCTCACAACCCTCGATCTCAATCACAGCCGCCACCTTTTGTAGTGCTTCCCACCACACACACAAAATCACTCTCTCTCTCTCTCTCTAACATTCCGATGCCAACCTCTAGCTCTCTCTCTAACAAATTATATGGCTATTGGGATATTTAAGTTATGGGTTATTAAGAAACCAAATGGGTGCCCATTGATTTCACAGAATTATTTCCTTGAATGGGAGATTTGATAAGTTAATTTTGAAGAAAAGTTAAATGAATAGCCATGGACTTTACTGGATATCTTAAATACATCAAAAAGCATAGAGGTGGGTTTGATGGGATAGAACATATTGAACCTTCCCAATGCACGTGGTTTGTGGGTGATTGCATGCATCCACAATGACTAGCCTCATCTCATAATGGGTCACAGACACACTGGTGTAACGAAAGAAAAGAGAATGTTACCGGATAAGCTAATTTATTTGATTCTAGCTGTGTTAGCTTAGCACTTCTATATGCGGAAACACTTATCTTAGGCATGATTTCCTTGTGATTGGTTGATGGTGCGGTAGTATAATGTCAGCACAACAATTTACCGGCTTGGTAGATTTATTCAAGCATGGTTTGATTGGTCACTTCATAGATTAGCATATGCAGTCCTCCGAAAAAAGAAATAATTCGAGGAGTGAATGGAAGTCTAGGGAGTTTTCGGGATCATCTGTACTTTTGAATGCTTTTCAAAGACGAATAAATATTTATGTAATAACAAATGGGATGAATTGCACACCAATGAAGTTTACAATAAATTGATGCCATGGGCATTGATTATGTAAACATAACATGGTCCATTGTAATTTTGTGTTTATATTCTTAAAGTTGATTACCCAGCTTTGATTCCCATTAATAAAGTGTGTTGGTAGGGACATATAGAGCACACATCTAACCTTGAAATTGTTTGGACAAAGTAAATGCCTCAGTATCAATCCCGCATTGTTATGAAGAATATTGATGTGTGGCAGCTGATTTATTTCCTTTTCCCTGTGACAGATTGGTTCAATTCATTGACTCCTATGATCCGCCATTAAAAGGGTTACATGAAGATTTGAATTTTGTTAGCCCTCGAATTGGAGAGGTCATATTTCTTATCCTTTTGTTGAGAATATCAGTTATTATTATTAATTTTTCACGATATGATCTTTTTGTTTCAGCTATCACAATGATATGATTAAAAAGCCCCAATTTTCTTTACCAGGTTTTAGAGGCCGTGGGTCCTATAATATTCTTATCAACAGATACCAGGAAGCTTAGAAACGAGGGTTTTTTAAGTCCATTTCATCCTAGATATCCTGACATACTTACAAATTCTGCACATCCAATGGTAAGCATCCTTCTTTTGCATGATGCTGAAAAAACTAAAATATATTTAACTTACTGAAATCTCCATGATTACTCAAGTGTAATAAACTCCTAGTTCTTTTATCATGGAGATAATCAATTATTTCAACCACACTGCAGTTTCATATTATCTCTCTCTCATTATTTTTTCCTGCAGAGAGCTCAAGACTTGGCAAATGTTACGTCTTATCGGGAGTGGGTATTATTTGGTTATCTTGTTTGTCCTGACGAGCTTCTTAGAGTCACCAGCATCGACATTGCTTTGGTATGTTCAAGCAGGTCTTGTGTTTTGCTACTCTAATATATATATATATATTTCCAAATTTAAATTCAGTGCATATTATGAATAAAAATTAGCACACAAATAAAGAAGATTAGCATATTAGAATATGTTATCTAAGGAAAATAGATGACCTATAGACAGTATCTGCGAGCAGCATTTTTGAATGTTTTATTTGTCCTTTGTGCAGTTTCTATTAAATGGACTTTTTTAAGAGAAGAATATAGCCTTAGAAAGTTTCTTCACCCCCTATGTCTATTTCTCAATTAAAATGACTAGCAGTATATATTTCATTATTTTTTAAAAGCACTTTTTTATTTCTATTTTTAATATCTCCATATAATGGATTTCTGTGGCAGATTATCCTGCATTGTTTCTTCTCACACTGTTTCTTGGGTGGATTTTAGGTTGTGCTGAAGGAAAATTTAGTTCTTACATTGTTTAGGGATGAGGTAAGTTCTATAAGTGAGCTATTGTAAATGTGTTCTTCATCTGAGTTAGTTGAACATTCTTATATTTTGTTAAATTGCAGTATATACTATTGCATGAGGACTATCAGCTATATGTTCTGCCACGGGTATTGGAATCAAAGAAGATGGCAAAATCTGGACGTGCAAAGCAAAAAGAAGCAGATTTGGAATATAGTGTTGCAAAGCAGGTGGAGAAAATGATAAGGTATTAACTCGATGATGCCATTTCCGTGAAAGTTATGTTGCTTGGCCAAAGAAATATAGAAAAAAGAAAAAGAAAAAAATAGTATATGATGGGATGTAATAAATTTGCTGTTTTTTTCTGTAAAATTCTTGTTTGGTGGTATCATAGATTTGGGGCATTAACCATTATTTGTTATTAACTTATCATACTTGGCAGAAGCTCTAGCATTTACCTACATGATAAGGTCATTGTTAAATGATATTCCAAACTCATGCAAAATGCTGAAAAGCACTGTTAGGTCTCACTCTCTTTAGGGTGTGCTTGGATTAAGAGAATTGGAAAGAAAATGGAGGAAAAGGAGGGAAATATTAACTTGGTTTGATATCAAAATAAAGAAGGAAAGGAAAGGGAAGGAAAGGGAAGGTTAAATGATATGGAAGTTGGTGATCATCTATTTTGCCCTCATTTCTTATAATAGCTGTCCTCTTTAACCATTTCTACTATCGTAATAGAACTTTTCTTTCCCTTCTTCTCTCTCCGCTATCTTTCTTTTCTAACAAGATGAGGAGTTACCACTACCATTTCCTTTCTTTTCCTTCCATAGTTATCCTAACATGAGGAGGGGTTAATACTATCCTTTTTGTCTTTTCTTTTCTTTCTTAACTAGTGCTATCCTTTCCTTTCTTTTCTTTGAATCCATACTATTTTTGCAATTGTTCTTAAGCCAATTGTAGGTTTATAACATTATTGTGACGAGGCACTTTGTGGAAATGCACATCATTTCTTTGGCAATGTTGACATTACATCATCAATGGAAAAGAAACACGTCTGTAGGCTAACTAAAGCTAAGGTGAGGATGCTCGGATGATTGAGAGGGGTGCCTAATCAAAAATAGTTGGAGCATAGTCAGTGGATGATCAGAAAAGAATTGTTGAGTGATACAGTTGGAGAAGTCACAACCAAGATTGCAGCAGTGAGGACTAAGGGGAAAATGAACCAGACGGCGATTCCAAAGATATTTAATGTAGATGCTTTAATGGTCAATATCTCTGATGATGATTTTTAATTGGTTCCTTGTGTTGAACTTTTTTTCTATCAGTATGACTAAGTTGCTTTTGTTATTATGTTTGATTATTACTTTCATTCATAATTGTCTGCTTGTGTAATTGTGTGACATTTGAACATTTATGTAGTTAGTGTTACAAAATTTTATCAAATTAACTTGAGACCAGTCTTCTTTTTCCCTGTTGTTGTTTCTGAGCCCTGTTGCCAAATATTATATGGTTATGTGGCTGATGAATGCAGTGAAGTACATGAGCAAGCATTAATATCCTGTGATGGCATACACCGTGAAAGGAGAATACTATTAAAGCAAGAGATTGGAAGAATGGTGCTCTTTTTCACCGATCAGCCCAGTCTTTTGGCTCCTAATATTCAGGTATATTGTATTTAAATGTGCTACATGAAGTGATTTCTTTTGATAAGCAAATTCACTATTTTAATGTTAATATTATTAGAAAAACTTATTAGTAGGACACTCGATCACAGTGGAATTGTGGAAGAATTGTTGCTGAAGGTGCGGACAGGAGCAGAGAGGAGGATGGTGGTCGGGGTATTCTTTGTTAAGAGAAGCTACATACTTAGTGATCTGTGATAGGAAGACTTAACTTGATGGTTTGGAGTTTTTACCAAATCTCAGGTAAGCACACGGGTCAGTTGGAATGACCATTCTCAGAGGAAGAGGTGGTAAATGCTTTATAAAGTTTGAATGAGGACAAGACCCAGAGCCACGGTCTGTCTGCCATTCTTCCTGCAATCTGAGTGTGTGGTAAAAGAAGAAGTATTTGCCACTTTAAACTACTTACAGGCGACTCGGGAGTTTTCAGTCTAGCTTGAATGAATCAAATCCTTCGTTACATTGATCCTGAAAAAGGTTACGGTTCATTTAATAGGATTTCAAGCCAATTAGTTTTATGGGGTGTGTATTCAGTGGCTCTATAAAGTTGTTGCTATTCAACAGAGGAGGGTGGTGAGTGGTACCATTTACGTGTCTCATAATGCTTTTGTTGGATAGCATCAGATTGTTGATGCAATGCTTGTGAGATGTGAGTGCCTGGATTCTAGAATGAGGATTCAAGTAGTATAGATACGGACACGGCTATATATAAATAGAAATTTTTATTTATATACATCTATTGAATAAGACAGTTATAGAACTTTTAATTAATAATTTAATTTCTATACAAGGAGTTGTATAATCTTGAAGATGAAGCTATGAATATATAATGTATGTTATTGTATTACATATGCTATTACTCTTACTTTGTCATTACAATTATATTTTCTTCCTATATAAAAAAATTTCAATTAAAATACTTATCAAAAAAAAAAAAAAAAAAATCAATTAAAATGTTGGACTTTTTGAGCTGTATCATATTGTAATTTTATTTATATTTCTGCAAATGAATAGTGGGCTTAAAGTGTTGACAGCTGACATCTTTTAATAGGAGAAGACCTTTAGTGCACCAGGCATGCCATGTCATTGGTATGCCCAGCCAATGAAAATACATTATTCTATGAAATTGGTCCCATCTATTTTTGAAAACTGTTCTCAACTAACTGTTATATTAAATTTCATTGGCCGGGCATACCAATGACATGGTATGCCCGGCGCACCCAATATCTTCTCATTTTAATAGGTATGTGGAATACATGTTGGAGTTGCATTAATCAATTGTTGATGCTAGATTCTTAAAATTGATCCATATCAATCAATCATGACAGGACCACACTGAAAATAATTAAATATATATATATGTACTGTTTTTAAATGTTTCAGTGTTGCTTTACTGTCTATACACACATATAAAATTGTCTGTAAACCATTTTTATTTCTATCTGAATGTCAGACATAGCGTACATAATTCCTGACAAGGTTCATTAACAAATTTTCAACATACTGACTTGTTAAGAGGTAACTTGTGAGATGATTTGTGGTCCCTGCAGATGGTATTTTCTGCCTTGGCTTTAGCGCAGTGTGAGGTTATGTGGTATTTCCAACATGTCGGAATCTCATCATCAAAATCTAAAGCTTCTCGAGTGGTGGCAGTAGACATAGTAAGTCAAACTTTTCTTCCTTGTGTCAGTTAATCTGTTAGCAGTGTAAATTTCTTGTGAAATCTCTTTTTGTGCTCCCTTGCCAGTCTGCAATGAAGTGATTGATTTTCAAGGGTTTGATTTTGGTTGCAGGATCCAAGTGATCCAACTATTGGGTTCTTATTGGATGGTATGGACCGCCTTTGCTGTCTAGTGCGCAAGTACATTGCAGGTGTGGTCAATTTTGAAGTCAACCAGTTTCTTTAAATAGTGGGGACATATGATGTTTACTTGTCATACAAATAATTCTTGAATTCTGATTCTCTTGCAGTTTGAACTGAATCTACCATAAGAAAATTGTGAAATATACTTCATCGCATTGCTTTTGTTTATTTTGAGCTGGTACTGGTGGATGCTTGTCATTTTCTTGTCTTCCAAGTCCTGATGATTTTTTCCAGTTAGTTCTTTGTTAGAATTAGGTTCTGGTAATAAAACTGACTAATGAAGGGGGGGGGGGGGGGGGGGGGCTACTTCAGGGGATTGTTGGTAAGTTGATTCTGTTTATATTATAGTGTAAAATTGTGTAAATAAGGAAACCTGATTTTGGAGATTATTTTCCTTCCCAATCTTCAAACAGTTGTTATTGTAGATTACTAATAGCTGTTGCACATGGACTCTGATTCACTGATCCAGCCATGCAGGACACTAATACGACACAGCAACAGAAACACAACAATGCACCAACTTCCTAGTAAAAAAAAAAGGAAAGAAAGAAAAAGGATATTTGTTTGGAGAGGATACAAAATTATATATGTATTTATATATTGTATGGATATGGCGAGGACACAACATTATATAAGCATTTGTATATTGTATGGATATGGTGAGGAGGCAACATTATATTTATTTATATATTGTATGTGTGTAAATGTGTATAAAAATTGAAGAAAGATATCTATAAATTTAAGATAGTAATTGTTTTCATGTTATGAATTTACAAATACTTTGTTTCTAATTTATAATATTAAAAATCAGACTAAAGCTACCAACAGGCCACTAGCCTAGCGGTACCAGGTCCCTACTTTCCAAAGGGAGGTCAGGGTTCGAACCTCAGTGGAGGCATGTGTGTGTGAGTACCAACTAAGAAAAAAAAAAAATCAGACTTAAGCTGAGAGTTATGTTGTATAGATATGGACTTTGGAGTAAATTAGATATGAAACATTCTCTCTCAATTCTTCTTCTCTAAGAAAGTCAAATTTTTTGAAATCTTTATTATACTTTCCAAAACAATTATACTATGATAGTATGCTAGAAATGTCGCATTTTAATGTTAAAGAGACATGTGTCCCAGAGCATCTAAGAAGTATCATATGCTTGAAAGTATTAGGCACATTAGGATTATCTGTATTCGATATGGAAACAACTCCGGTTTTTGTGCTTCATGGATTTCTAGTTAAAAATATAGATAGTGAAATAATGTTCACACGAGCTTTTTCTCCGTCGTTTTCTGTCAATGCGCAGAGATAGTAAGAGAAATAAATTTTCTAGGAGGATTGCGTGGCGTTTAAAAGGATTTGGAATTAGTAGGTGATATTGTGGTTTCCTGAATGATTCCAAAGACAAACCAAGGCCATGAATCTATAATTTTTTTTGTAAATAGAGGATATTTCAGCTGTGGAGCAATGATCTTCATGTAACTTTCCTGTCCTTGAATGCAATTGTGGTCTTGTGGAAAGAAGAGAGAAAACCTTGACCACAGGTGCGAATATAGTGGTCAAAGGCACTTCAATACCTAAGTGAACTAGACAATGAGAACAAGCAATGACTTAAAATTGCGCAGACTTGCAAAATTGGCTTGCTGGAACTGTTAGTTATATACATGTGACTTAGCTGTCATACTCAAGGATCATTTTTCCCGCCAAGTTCAGATGGTGAGTAGAGATTGGACTTTGCATGGTTAGATCTTGATTCATCTGTCAAGGTGGAAGTTTCGCATTGTTGGGAATTGTGTCTCACAATTCTATTCTTATTAGGTTTTTTAAAGGTGATTTCTTTTAAGACAAGTGTGGGCTCCAAAGAATTGTAAAAGACCAATCTTTTCGCGACCATAATTTATTTTGGTTGTTAATACTTTGACCAATTACGACCAAACTTTGATCATTTTGCAACCATAAAATTTGGTCGTAAAAGATCAATTCTTTCGCGACCATAATTTATTTTGGTCGTTAATACATTGACCAATTGCGACCAAACTTTGATCATTTTGCAACCATAAAATTTGGTCGTAAGAGATCAATTCTTTCGCGACCATAATTTATTTTGGTCGTTAATACTTTGACTAATTGCGACCAAACTTTGATCATTTTGCAACCATAAAGTTTGGTCATCAAAAATTAATCATTTTGCGACCATAATTTATTTTGGTCGCTGATGTGCTTATCAATTGTGACCACGTGTCCAACAAGGAATTGGGTTTGGAACTCTATAAATAAGTACCTAGGTTTTGGGTTGAGACTCATGAGATTGAGAGAGATATCTCGTTGTTCATGCTACCCTAATAAATTGGTATCTAAGCTGAAGGTGAAGGAGATCCAGAAAATACAAAGAGTCTCAATGAGTGTTGCAATGTGTTTCAGTTGCAAGTGGAGCCAATGGGCTTGTTTGATCATGATGGTCAGAAAATTGTGATGGGTTACATGGCACGAAGCTCGAGTAGACTGAGTAGTTTAGTGGAGCCTTGAGGTTTGACTGTTCAAGTAGCATACAATGTGGATAATCACATGCAATTCGAAGAGTAATGAGGAACTGGCTCCTTGGGTGAAAAGTCCCTAAATCAGACAGGGTTGTGGTGACGTTCGTGGGTGAAAGTTCCTAAAGAGTGATTCAGTTCTGTGTGCAATATTGTATCTGCAAAAGAATTGTCCTGATCGATGCTGTGGGAAGCAATGATTGACTTGATGGAATTTGAGTATAGGTGGAGAAATTTGAAAATTGTGTCTCAAATTCCAATTCTACTAGTACTTATCAAAAATAAAATAAAAAATCCTATTATATTAGGTTTCTATTTTAGAGTTGTATTTTGTTATGGTAATTTCTTGTTAGACAAGTGTGGGCTCCAAGCAATTGTAATCGTTCAACAAGGAATTGGGCTTGGAACTCGATAAATAGGTACCTAGGTTTTGGGTTGAGATTTATAAGATTGAGAGAGATGTAATCTCATGAGGGAGTTGATTGGTAGATGTAGTTTATGGGTTGGTAGAATAAGAAAAACACCGGTGACACTGGTGGTGAGGGGATTGGCTCGTGGAGTGTTACATGGTGAAAAGGGATGTGCGTAATGTTGGTACTCTACTCTTGTAATATCTCTACGAATCATAGTGGAATCTCTTCTCCTCCATGGATGTAGGCCGGTTTTGGCCGAACCACGTTATATCTTGTGTTTGTGTCTGATTGTTTTGTTGGCTTTCATTGGATCTCGTTGTTCGTGCACTTTCACTGCCCTAACACGCATTGTACATATGCTTTCCTTAGTGGAGACTATCCTTTTTTCTTAGTTATTATCTACTTATCAATATATATAATACATATATATTGTATATAGGGGCGGAGCCAGCGTGTGCCCAGAGGGGGCACATGCCCCTCCTGGCCTGGCCCTGCCTTGCCCTGCCCTCCCCTGCCCACTGTAAAATATAGTAATTTTAATTTTAATTTTTACATTTATAAGAATTTCTATATAATGCCCCCCCTAAAATTTTAAATTTCTAAAATTGTCTTCTAATTTTTCTTTCCTTTTTCTTTTGCTCTTAATATTCCTTTGATTTCCTTAAAAAAAAGTTAAATTTTCCTTCTTTACTCCAACTCTAATATTTTTTTGCTTTCAAATTTCTTATTTTTCTTCCCTTTTTCTTTTTCTTTTTCTTCTTCTTCTTTTTTTTTTTGGATAAGTAATAATAAATTAAAAAAGGCGTTCAATAGGGGAACGCGTCCCGTGGACATAAATGAAGCCGGGGTCTAAGGCCCCAAAGAATCCAAAAAAGAAATTAGATCAACAGAAGAGGAACACAAACTTCTGTTCACATAACAAAAAAGAGAGCGAATAATAAAAAGTTTCAGTGTCGCTGAAGACGACTCATTCCCTTCAAACATTCTACTATTTCGCTTCTTCCAGATGCACCACCAAATACAATGTGGTACAGATCTCCAATAAGCTCAAACACTCCTACTCACACGACAATCTCTCCAAGCATGAATCAGCTCCTTAGTAGAACGTGGCATTACCCAACACATGCCAAATAGGCCAAGAATGAGATTCCAACAATCGTGCGCTATAGAGCAATGCATTAGGAGATGATCGATTGACTCCCCATCCTGCTTACATAAACAACACCAATTAACAAGAAAATTTCCCCTTTTCCTCAGATTATCGATCATTAGAATCTTACCCTAAACAGTAGTCCATACAAAAAACGCCACCCTAGTAGGAGCAATAGAACACCAAATAGTCTTCCATGGAAAATCATAGGATGTAAAATTAGACAGACATAAGAACAAAGACCTTACTGCAAAACGCCCGTGAGAGGAGGGAATCCAAATCAAATTGTCATAACCCCTGCCAATTCCTTCTTGCCTATACAATTGATCCAAGAAAATGCTCACCTCTTCCAACTCCTAATCCTGAAATGAATGTCGAAAATGAACATTCCACGTAATCCCACTATTATCAAGCTGATAAAATTTGGCTACTATGGCATGTTTATCAACTGCAATACTATATAATCTGGGAAATGTACGACATAAAGGGTGGTTCCCACACCAAAGATCATCCCAAAAACGAACGCAACTACCATCACGAACTCTGAATCTGATATGAGAGGAAAAAGGCATCCCATCCTTTCCTAAAGGATTTCCAAGCCCCAACTCCCCCCGCAATAGAAACCGGACGTATAGTCCATCCGCCAACATCTTCCCCATACCTACAAGATACTAATCTGCGCCAAGGATGATGTCTTTCCTTCCTGTATCTCCATAACCACTTGCCCATAAGAGCTTGATTAAAAGGAATCAATCGTCAAATACTGAGACCCCCCAATTTTATAGGCTTGCATACTTGCTCCCATCTAACAAGATGATACTTGAACTCATCTCCCCTTCCTCCCCAAAGGAAATTCCTTTGAATTTGTTCAATTCTATCAGCAACGGAACAAGGAATTTGGAACAAAGAAAGAAAAAATAAGTGGGAAGGCTTGATAAAGTGCTCTTGATAAGAGTTACTTTACCCCCCTTAGATAAATATTGCTTCTTCCAACCTGCCAACCTCTTTGCATACCTATCAAGCACAGAATCCCAACTCCCCACTAACCTAGAAGAAACCCCTAGGGGCAATCCCAAATAAGGGATAGGAAAGGAGCTCACTTTGCACCCAAGAACTGCAGCTAGAGAAAAGATGTCCTGTACATTCCCGACAATGACAAGCACACTCTTGCCCACATTCACCTTTAACCCGGAAACTGCCTGAAAGCAAGCCAGAATGCATCTCAAATATCTAAGTTGAGACACACCTGCATCACAGAAAACCAGAGTGTCATCTGCAATAGTAGATGTGAAATCTCCTCAATATCTCTACCCACCCGGAATCCCTTAATGAGATCAAGATTCTCAGCCTGGCGCATGAGTCTGCTTAAGCCCTCCATAACAATAAGAAAAAGAAAAGATGACAATAGGTCACCTTGTCTTATACCCCGAGAACACCTGAAAAAACCAGCTGGAGAACCATTCAGAAGAATTGAGAACTTGACAGATGAAAGACATGTCTTGATCCATGTCCTCCATTTACTTCCAAACCCCATTCTTTTAAGCAAGTAGAGAAGGAAATTCCAGTTAATATGATCATAAGCTTTCTCAATATCAAGTTTGCATAGAACTCCAGGAACACCACTACGCAATCTTGAATCTACACATTCACCAGCAATTAGAACTGAATCAAGAATTTGCCGTCCTCCAACAAAGGCATTCTGGGAATCTGAGATAATCCCATCCATAACTTCTCTCATTCTATGAGCAAGCACCTTAGCTATGAGTTTGTAAATACAACCCACTAAGCTAATAGGACGAAAGTCCTTAATATCTGAAGCGTTTCCCTTCTTAGGGATAAGGGCAATAAATGATGCATTGAGCGATTTTGCAAAAACACCAGTAGAATGAAACTCCTGAAAGGTACTCATCACTTCCTTTCTCACAACCGCCCAACTTTCCATCAAAAAGCGCATAGTGAACCCGTCTGGCATCGGGGCTTTATCCCCATTACAACTGGATAAGGCCTTAAGAACTTCTTCTTTAGAAAAAGGAAGCTCTAACCCATCTCTCTCCAGCACGGAAATAGCCTCAAAAGGAAGACCATCAAGCTTAGGTCTCCAACCTAAAGGTTCTGTGTAAAGCTTCTGATAAAAAGAAACGATCCCGCTGCGCACCTCTTCCTCCCTCCACAACTCCATGCCTTCAACCCGTAGACGTCCTATATGATTGCTCCTTTTGTGAGCATTAGCAAGTCTGTGGAAAAATTTTGTATTATGGTCTCCCTCTTTTAACCAAAGAGCCCGAGATTTTTGTCGCCATGAAATCTCCTCCATACAAGCAATCTCAGCAAGAACTGCTTGACACGAAGCTCTCCTATTAGAAAGAGACTCCACATTTCCACTTGCCTCCTCAAGCCGATCAATCTCAAAAAAATCAGCAAAGACTCTATTCTTCCTCCATTCAAGATTCCCAATGATCAAAGGTAACCCTTTCTAAGACTGCCTGAATAACATCTGGGAATTTTTCTTCCCACTCCCCAGAGATAAAAAATCTGTCCAATCTTGAGAGAGTAACTGGGTCTCTACCATTAGACCAGGTGTAGGTTGCACCTTCTATTGGTAGATCAATGAGGAGGTGCTCATCAATGAAGTCAGAAAATTGATCCATGTCTGTGGACCTTCTTCCCCCAGTAGACCTCTCTGACGGGAACCTGACTGAATTGAAATCCCCACCCAAACACCATGGTAGTGAGCATAGTCCTTGAACGTGGCTTAGTTCCTCCGATAAAATAGGTCTCTCAACATCATCAACCGGTCCATACACCCCAGAAAAAACCCATCTGAAATTATCCTCTTCCATCTTAAACTCACAGGAAACAGAAAATCTCCCTTTCCACTCATTCATTCTGGACAACCACCTACTGTCCCACAAAACTAAAATACCACCCGAAGACCTGGGCTTCTTCTTCTTTTTATTACATTTTTTTGGCTCCCTACTTCTTAACAATCTTCTTTTTGCACTTAAGAATGATGTATATAGTATGTAATTTTTTTTTTTTGGTTCTTATTTAAATTATAATTTTTTTTTTTTGTTTTTACACTGCGCCCCCTCTGAATTAAAATCCTGGCTCCGCCCCTGAGTGTATATGGTTGTGGAACCATGATATGGGTGCTAATATGATGGCTAAATTTATGATATGCTCTTTTGATGCAATTGCTAGAGCTCAATACATATTTTTGGACCTACCATTGAACAGCTTAAGCTTTGGGGCAACTGGTAGTCTCATATCATATCAAAGCCTTGGTTTTGTGAGGTTTTGGATTCAAGTTTCTCCATCTGCATTTGTTCCCCTGTTTTGTTTCTCAGTTTGCACCCTATTCTGCTCGGTTTGTCTTCTTGCCTTTCCCCGTGCAAGACAGGATCACATGTGAGGGAGGGTGTTAAGTGCTTGATATATTCTTGGGCCAATTCCTTAATAGCTTTAGTTTTTGGAGTAACTAGTATTCTAACATAAAAAAATCAATAACTGTCTAAATGTCTTGTTCAACCACAAAACAATTCAGATCATGGATAACATGTGTCATACAAATACTGTCCTTTTTCTAGTTTGAGCAAATATTCATATTTGTCATACACTTTGCTGTCCACATGCCAGATGTCATGCTTAATTTCTTTGTTGTTGAGGTATACGATATAAATTTCTTGTGTTGATTGACTGTGTATTAAAACACATTCATATTCCTGTGCAGCAATTAGAGGCTATGCATTATCATATCTGTCATCATGTGCTGGTAGAATCCGCTTTTTGCTGGGTAGTCCAGGAATGGTAGCTCTTGACCTGGATGCAACCTTAAAAGGGCTTTTCCAGCAGATCGTTCAGCATCTTGAAAACATACCAAAACCACAGAGTGAAAATATTTCTGCAATCACATGTGATCTATCTGTAAGAAATCTATGCAGAAAAACTCAGTTATGTTATATTAACTATTGCTTTTTAATGAAATCTTACTTTTTAGAAAAAAGAGAAGCTATATTATGTTAAATATCAGAGATCTCTCATGAGGTTTCTGGTAAAGTAAATGACCTTTAATAGGTCTTCTGATTTATTATGGACCTGCATAGCATTTGTGATGTCAGCATCAATCACCTTGTTTGCATAAAATTTTCTCGTTTTATATGACATATATTCCAATATCTGTAGATGATGGTGATTGTATGGGTTTTCAGAAAGGCTGTAGAATACCACTAGAGAGAACACTTGAAAATTCTCAGCTAGACATAAACCAGAACAATTGGTTAATAGCAGTATCCTAAAATAATATTGACCAACAAATGGAAGATCTTAATAAAAATATAGAGTTAGAAAAAAACTATTAAATCTATTAAAAAAGAGAAACATAAAATTTTGGAGGAAACCCCTCCAGAGAGGGCAAAAGCAAATAAAAGAATATTGGTTTAATAGCACAGGAGGCTTTAGAAGTCCAAACCCCCATGTAACAATCAAACCAGAATATGTGTTAAAAGCACTTAGCCAAGGTCGAAAATCAGTATCTGAAAGAATGGATATAAAAAACATGGAGGAGTTTAGCTGAAAATTCTTAATAATGAAGTAATTGAATATCAAATTTCAGAATTCGAATTTAAACAACTCTATAAAATAGGAAGGTTCAATATAAGGTGGCCAACATATATGGTTCGAAAAACGTAGAAATGATACATTCAGTCACAAGTGAGGAAACAAATATTATGTTACTCGCCAGAGATCAATTGCTTAAAGAACAGAACAAAGGATAAAGCTACGTCCATATAGGCCCAATACAAGTACCTTAAAATTTTTGGGAAGACAACCTAGGATGATCTCTACTTTGCATCTTACGAAATGATAGAATAGAAAACTTTAAACAATCTCTGTTAGGAGCAAGTCAAGCTGATGCTGAATAACAAATTTGGCTTCTTTAATGCTAGGTTGAATTTTACCATCGACATCAGAGATGTTCATGAAGCATTAAAAACCACACTAGCTACTCATGGGATAAGTTTTTAAAAGATACAAATACAATCTCACTATAAATTGATACAATCAAATTCACCAAGTAGTTTACTCACTCAGTCTAAGAGAAAAACAACATTCATCCAAACTTAGACTAGAAACCACATGTGTCAATCGAAAACCTCAAATTGGAATGAAATTCAATTCCCTTAAATATGGAAACTTGTAGTGAAAGAAAACAAAATGAATTATCTGAACTTCCATCTAGTTCTGAAACACTAGATAGTGACATAAATCTAAAATTCAAAAAGGTAAAGATCTCAGTGTGCCGTCTAGTCCAGGAGTTCTTAAAGAAGAAGATGCAAAGAAAATGAGTTTTTACAACAAATTTCAAAACCTTAAAATAAGAAGAAATTCTAGAAAGACTAAAAGAAGAATTTGAAACTACACAAAATGTTGAAAGATTAGAATATTTGATTCATAGAATCTTAACACAACTAAGAAAATGTCGGAGCTACCTTCACCCCTATGAAGGAACCAGGAGAGTGCTCTAACCAAACTGGAGAAAGCTGTCCAGAAAAAAACGTTTGTACACAGCATAGAGAACTCTTCAAGCAGGAAGATTACCAAGTGTTATGTCAAGATAGGAATACTAGCACTTACACTCTTTGAGAAATAATCAGTAGACCTATCAACTAAACGGGTGAATACCTGAATCTAGACTGCCTAAAAGATAGAACATAAGCCATATCCAAATGGACAAATGCCTGCATTTTAGTAGTGTTAGACGTCAAGATAGGAAAACAAGCACTTACACTCTTACAGAAATAATCACTAGACATATCAACTCAACGGGTGAATACCTGAATATAGACTGCCTAAAACATAGAACATAAGCCATATCCAAATGGACAAATGCCTGCATTTTTGTGATAGGAATTCTATGAAAAGGATGGACAAACCAAGAAGCCATGACTTCTTGTGAAAATACTCTAACTGGTATAGCTAAGGAATGGTGGTTAGCTTTTTGTTCAATCCCTGATTATCCACCTTGGAAAGAAAGGATCTGATTGTCTAGAAACCAACTAGAAATAATAGTCATGCTAGATGAACAATTTGTAGAGACATACATGGCTTAGGAGATGGAGGTATAAAAAGTTGGGAAAAATCTAATCAATCTATAAATTTGTGTTATAAACAAATTTAAAAAAATACTTGCGAATTTTGAAAGATATTTTTACAAGACAGGATACCCAAATAATAAAATGTAAAAAAATATGTACATTTAGAAATTACCATCTTCATGGAATGATGAAATTGAAAGGAGATTAACCACTCATTGGCTTAAAATATAATAGCATAGGTGATATCATTTCCGTAGCACTAGAGTCCCTTGAAGAAATTTTTATAAACAGTAAACTACAATGTGAAGCTCGCAGACAACTAAAAGGAAATTCAAACTTTTGTTATGGTCTTCTTGACATGCCAACCCAATGGGGATGTGAGGAAAGAGCATACAGAAAGAAGAAAACGACCAAAAGAAAAAATATGGATATAAAAATAGATTTAGAAAATCTAAAACTTTTAGAAATAGGAAATACTATCCTAAGAAGAAATATTTCAGAAGAAGAGAAGCAACTTCTACTGAAAAATCAAAGTCATGCAAATGTTGGCTTTGTAACGAAGAAGCACATTATGCAAATAATTGCCCCAAAAAGAGTAAGGGCTACTCAAAATCAAACTCTAAAATCAAAAGAATATGGGACGAGTAGGAACCCATTATCCAAAGAGCTGAAGAGTAAAATTTACTATGAATCTGAATCCGACTTAAAATTAGTCTATAGTCTAGAAACAGAATCAGAAAAGGAACTAATATCAACTGTATTTGGGAATTTTGAGAGAGCTTTTTTTTATCTTCTCTCACGAGTTGAAATGTTAATTTAGTTGCTTATTTTATTCAATAAGTACACCACACTCACCAACTTCCTAATTCAAGATTTGAACCTTGCATCTTCCCCTTTGGGGATGGAAGGAAATACAAACTCAAGCTGCAGGGCAGTTTAATTTATTGCCTTTTCAGTAAATTATTAACATATTAACGAAGTAGTCTAAAATTATGTGTATTCATTTCATGCACTCCTCAAATTCAATAAATATATTATATAAAATGTTGAGGCGATCATCAGTCCTCTAACAGTGCATCTTTAGCAGGTATCAGATTAATTGTTGGTAAATTTGGTTTGGAATCGACTGTCAAATATTTTTTTATTCTTGTTATGATTAATATATTGACTTCCAAATCACATCATTATAATGGTAGCCATTTTTTGTTCTCCTTTGTCAAAAGATATACTTCTAGGGTGGTACAGTGGTCTTAGAACTGCCAAGCATGAGAATGCTTTTATTTGAATATGATATTATTCACTTTACAAAATGCTAAAAAGGTTTGGTCTTTGTCAAGTCTATACCTCTCAGCATCCCACACGGGCAAGAACAGTACGAGGTAATAGCCTTTTTTGTACTACGAATGGCCACTTCTTGGGCACATGGATTTCAGAAAATGCAGTTCTTCAACTGATGCAATACGTCTAGTATCCTCAGATTAGCCAAAATTAATCAATCTTGATATGCATCTACAGATGTGATTGTGTGACTGTTGCTCACTAAGTTTAGCTTCTATTTGTGCTAGTGGCTCTCTGCTTACTAAATTTAGCTTCTATTTGTCTAGTAGCTCTTTCTTTCCCAGTTTGGAAGTGTCGGCAGGCTTACATTCATAATTCTTTATTTAGTTAAAGGAAATTTACAGGTCTAGTACTTACCAAAAAAAAAATATTACAGGTTTAACTTTTTTCTAAAGCCATTTGCATACCATATGTAGTAATAATTATTTTTTTTGTAATGCGTACTAAACAAAATTTTCCAATATTCTTCTGAGTTGAACTGTTTTGAGTGGCATGTTGCTGTTGTTGTTCTTGTATTTGTTATTTTTGTTTTATATTTCTAAGATTGAAACATGTGCCTATTGATCAGGAGTTAAGAAAGGATTGGTTATCAGTGTTGATGATCGTCACTTCTGCTCGATCATCTATTAACATTAGGCATTTGGAGAAAGCTACAGTATCTACTGGAAAGGAAGGCCTATTGTCAGAAGGAAATGCTGCATACAATTGGTCCAGGTGCTCTTGCTTGCTCTGATTTGACATAATGACTAATTATTAGTTTATTCCTGATGAAATGACCTTAATCACACTTCTTTAATTTAATTTAATTTTATTTTACTTTTTGGTGGTGGGGATGAAGAGGGAATAGAAGCTTGCTGTAACTACAATGATTAAATTAAAATTGAAAAGTCTTATATTTATGATGACGACGGAATTTTTTTGTGGCTTTTGTGTGGATGTTCTTGTTGTATAACTCTAGGAAACATTAGCAAAATATGTATTGAAAGTAAAATTTTTCGTGCAGTCATTTAGAAATTCTTAGGGCTGATGGAAATATTGTGAATGTTTTACGCATGCCTTGATGAAGGCTATCTTCAATTTTAACAGATGTGCTTGTTGGTAGATTCAATCATAACTATTATCTCCAAACCTATCTATAATATTCAAGTGCCAAATAAATTAGCTAGAGATAGACAGCAAGGTGAAAAGTTGGCTAGGCTCCTTCCTGCATGAGTCTGAGTAGAAGTATGAACTACTTTAGTTTAACTAACAAATCCAAGACAATTTAGAGCATAGTGAGTTATCCGTTTTGGGTTTTGTAAGTTCATAACCATGTATGGATCTGTTCAGTCAATAGGACTACATGAATCCTATGTTTCCATTCCGCTTTATCTGAGGTTATAGCCTTAGTCAAACCACATGCTATCATGTCCTTCCTAATTAACTCTACCCATGTTAAATTTGGTCTTCCTCTCCTCTAATATTACCCCCATTGTGAATTATGTCACTCTTCCTCACAGGTGCACTTAAAGGTCGTATTTGTGTTGAAGGTTTTAAATAGTTAAGTTATACCCTCTCCAACAACTTAAGCTTTTCGAGTGGATGGTTGTTAACATGGTACAGAGCCAAAGGTCTCGAGTTCAAACCTCACCGTCATCCTAATTAAATTTGAAAAACACTTGTTGGACCAAAAAGAAGGTCAAACGTGAAGGGGCTTGTTGAAGGGTTTAAATAGTAAAGTTACACCCTCTCTAACAGCTTAAGCTTTTAGAGTAGATGGTTGATAACACTTTGCACATGTTTAAACTATCTTAACTGATTTTCTCTCATTTTGTCTCCAATTTGTGCTACTCTAACCATCTCTCAATGAAATCATTTCTAGCCTTACTGCATATCCATCTCAACATTCACATTTCCATCACACTCACTTTATGCATATGTTGTTTCCTAACTGCCCAACATTCTGTGCTATAAAGTATGGCTGGTGTAACGGCCCTCACCCACCAGACACAATATTGTCCGCTTTTGGCTCCCTCGGATCAGAGATTTCCTGGGAGGTCACCCATTTTGGTATTATTCCAAGTTAAACATGCTCAACTATGAAGTTCTGATGGGTTCACGATCATCACAGCTTTAAAACGCATTGTGTTGTAGAAGAGTGTTGAACTTACATATAGCACTTCACTCTTCCACACCTAGGCGATGTGGGACCTATTAGCACACGTAGTTCTCACCAAAGCCTTGCCTCTCACAGGCCCGCCCGCCCACCGAGTCTCACAATTCCACCCCCCCTGGGAGCCTTGCGTTCTCGTCAGCACACTTCTGACTGGGTCAAGCTCTGATACTATTTGTAACGGCCCTTACGCCACCTGACGCGATATTATCCATTTTTTGCTCTCCCGGAAACAGAGAGACTTCCCAGGAGGTCACCCATCCTGGTACTACTCCAATCCAAGTTAAGCATGCTTAACTACGAATTTTTGATGGGTTCACGGCCATCACAGCTTTAAAACGCGTTGTGTTATAGAAGGGCGTTGAACGTACATATAGCACTTCTCTCTTCCACACTTAGGCGATGTGGGACTTGTGAGCATGCGTAGCTTACACCAGAGCCTTGCCTCTCACAGGCCTACTTCCCCCCACTAAGCCTCACAGCTGATCTAATAGTTGATCGATAGAACTTCTCTTTCACCAACAGGCCTGTGGCCTAGTGGTACAAGGCCCCTACTTCCCAAAGGGAGGTCAGAGGTTCGAACCTCAGCGGAGGCAGTGTGTGAGTACCAACTAGGAGGGAAAAAAAAAAAAAAAAAACTTCTCTTTCAATCGTAAGGGAACACGGCTATCACACAATATACTAGATGCACTCCTCCATTTAGCCCATCCTGCTTTGATTCTATGATTAACGTCATCTCCAATTTCTCATTAACATATTGTATTCGGTATGTGTTTGTTTTAGCCCACTGGAAAAAGAAAAATGTTTACTTTTTTGCACCTCTTTTATTTATTTTTTTTTTTTGATAAGGAAAATTTTATAAAAGAGCGCTCAAAAGGGGAGCGAATCCCAAAGAAAAACACAACGCCAAAAAACGCCTCAAACCTTCAAAGAGGCCAAAAAAACAACAATCTCCTTTATAGATCTATAATCTCTCTCTGCAACCCAACAAAAAAGAGTGGAAATAATAGAGAACTTAAGCATAGAAATAGGCTTCTCCTTTCCATCAAAATATCTCCGATTTCTCTCAAGCCAAATGTACCACCAAACACAAAGAGGCGTAGCCCTCCAAGCATCCCGAACGAGAGCCCCAACTGAAAAACCTCTCCAAGCCTCAATTAACTCTCGAGAGGATCGAGGCATGACCCAAGGAATCCCAAATAAACCAAGCATCAAATCTCAACAGTCCCTAGCCATACTGCAATGCAAAAGAAGGTGATCCATTGTCTCCTCATCCCGCAGGCACAAGTAACAGCGATTAACCACCACCTGATTCCTCCTTTTGATTCTCAATCCTCACTACACCCTCATTTGTATTTCTAAATTTACTAAAGTAACACTCCACAAAGGTGGACTTCATTGTCTGTGCTAAGCTGGTGTAATAAATGTGTCGACATGAAGTCTTGTTGACAGGCATCCAGGGCACCATTCACTAATGGGGAAGTTTTGTATATCTGATGGGCATGGGGACCTAACATGTTGAAGTATATGGAACTGCGCATTGAAGGTCTTGACTGAAAGAAGGCAAGTGTCCTGCAAGATAACTAAGATTAGCTAAGTGGCAGAGTTTGCTGCCCTAGCAGCTTGCCATGTTATTTAGTTAGTTACCAAGTTTGTTATTGTTTATTATAGTTTATACATATCATGCATAAATTTCTGTATTATGCTGTAAATTATTTAATTATCTTGATAAATGCTGTAACTATTTTAAATTCATGTAAGCTCCAGCTTCCAGTGATTAACTCGCAATTTAGTTTGCACATAGATGCATAAAATAGACATGTAATGACATTTGTATGTGCAGGAGTGTTGATGAACTTGAATTTCAGTTATCAAGACATGGGAGCCTTAAAAAGCTCTACTTCTATCACCAGCATCTCACAACGGTAAGTTCTTGCTTCGGTTCGACTTGTTTGCAAGGCTCACCAATTGCTATCTTTTACAAATCAATTTCCCAAAAATCTATTACTCTAATTCTCAGTTGTGATCTGAACTTTGAGTAGAACAGGTTTTCAGGAACACCATGTTTGGACCTGAAGGGCGTCCTCAGCATTGCTGTGCATGGCTTGGTGTTGCAAGTAGCTTTCCAGAATGTGCTTCCCCAATTGTTCCAGAAGAGGTATTCAATCAACTTGTTTCCTGTTTTGGTAATTTTGCTTGCTCATACAAATTGGGTACTTGCTTGTCTTTATTTATTTTTTTGATAAGTAAAGATTGTATAAAAGAAGCGTTCAAAAGGGGAACGCTTCCTTCAAAAGATACACAAGGCTTAATAGGGCCTCTAAACTCTCTCAGAGTCCAAAGTATCAGCTATCTCCTCCACGGATTTACAACATCTCCCTATAACCCAACAAAAAAGAGTGTTAATAATAGAGAACTTCAACTCCCCCATAGAAGTCTCCTTTCCTTTGAAAGATCTATTTCTTTCAAGCCATAAAAACCACCAGATGCAAAGAGGTGTAACCCTCCAAAAATCACGGACTTGGGTCCCCTATATACACCCTCGCCAAGCCTCAATCAACATTCTGGGGGATCTTGGCATAAACTCACTGAACCCCAAACAACCTTCTTAACGTGAAAACTTTCTGTTTCTCCAGAAACCTAGAACCATGATGTCTCAGATCACTAGCGCTAGCACTTACAACATATACGAGTTTTACTTGCTGTGTAAGATTCATGTAGAATCTTTAAGAGTTTAGTATTATAAATATAGCTATTATGGTTAAGTTTCAATTAAAATTTTGAGGCTAAGTCTTTCTATCACCTGGCTATAGAGCAACTCTAAGAGCTCAGAGACATCTGCAAGCTCCCAATCATGAAACTCTCTATGAAATAGCACATCCCAAGTCAACCTCCCATTATCAAGCCGATAGCAGTCTGCAACTAGAGCAAGCCTATTTGTCAAAATCCAAAAAAGCCGAGGGAACCTATGCGCCAAAACAAAGTCCCTACACCAATGATCCTCCCAAAACCTGTATGTCTCCCACTTCAAACACTGAACCGAATGCATTAGGAAAACTCATTGCAGCCATTCCGGATAAGCTTCCAAATACCCACACTTGTCGGAGATCACCCCTCCCTAGACAACCATCCTCCATGTCCCCTCCCCACAACGACAAGCAATGACCCCCTTCCATGGTCTGGACTTTGGATCTCTCTCCCCCAAATCTCCAAAGCCATTTACCCAACTAAACCTTTGTTAAACAAATCCAACCTCAGAATCCCCAAGCCTCCCTTTTTAATAGGGGAGTGCATTCTCTCCGAATTGACCAAGTGGTTGACCAAGTGGTATTTGAATTCATCACCCTTGCCACTCCACAAAAACTTCCTCTAAATCTCATCCAATCTCTGAACAGCAGACTCGGGCATCGGGAATAAAGATATGAAGTAGGTAGAAAGATTCGAAAGGGAGCTCTTCATAAGTGTAATCCTCCCCCCATTTGATAAGTACTGTTTCTTCCAACCTGAAAGTCTCCTTTCAAATTGGTCGCCCACTGGATCCCAAACTGAAATCCTCCTCGACAAAGCTCCCAAGGGTAGCCCCAACCATGCTATTATTAAATTACAATGTTTTACTAATGATTGAATTGCCACCACATTTGCTTGAGCGCTTCAGGAACATAGTACTACCTATTTGATGTTTGCCTATAAGAAAGAAAAAAAGAAAGACGAACAGATTTTTTTTTTTTTTTTTATAAGTAAAATTGTATTAAAAAGCTTTCAAAAGGGGAACGCATCCCAAGAGCTGTACAAGAATCAAGAGCAAAAAAGAAAGCCTAAGGATCCAAAGACCCCCAAAAGTCCAAAAACTCCTCAACGGAAGAACAATCTCTCCCCATGCCCCAACAAAAAAGAGACCAAATAATAGAATACTTAAGAGCCCCAATGGGTAATTCCTCCCCAACAAAGGATCTTCTATTGCGTTCTTTCCATAGACACCACCAAATGCAGAGGGGAATCGCCCTCCAGAAGTCGCGAACTTGAGCCCCCACCCTCTGTCCCCTCCAAATATCGATAAGACCTCGCGAGGTCCGACGCATAACCCACTGAACGCCAAAAAGACCCAACATAAGGCTCCATCAATCATGGGCCACTGGGCAGTGCAAGAGAAGGTGATCCACAGACTCTCCATCGGTCATACACAGACAACACAGATTAACAATGACATGTCTCTTCTTCCTCAAATTGTCCAGAGTCAGGATCTTGCCCCAAACAACAGTCCAAGCAAAAAAAGCCACCCTAAGAGGAGCCTTCGAATGCCAAACCGTTTTCCATGGATAAGAGGGGGCTTGAAAACTGGAAAGACAGAAGAAGAAAGACCGGACCTGAAAAGTCCCCTGCGAGGAAGGCACCCAAGTCAAAAGGTCCGCCCCAGTGCCCTCCACCTCCTGTCGATACAAAAGGTCCAAAAAAGCAGTGACATCATCCAGCTCCCAATCTTGAAAAGCTCGTCGGAACCGAACATCCCAAGATAACCTACTGCTATCAAGCCTATAGCAGTTAGCAACCATAGCATGGCAATCCACAGCAATCCTGAACAACCTTGGAAACCGTTGACACAAGGGATGTTCCTCGCACCAAGGATCCTCCCAAAACTGGACACTCCGACCTTGCCGGACTCTGAATCTAATATGCTTAGAAAACTCATCCCAACCCTTCCCAATAGACTGCCACATACCCACGCCGATACCAGATCTAGCCTGTCTGGCAGACCAACCCCCTCTATCCTCCCCAAACCGGCAAACAACGATCTTCCTCCAAAGTCTGTGTCTTTCACTGCCAAACCTCTAAAGCCATTTGCCAAGAAAGGCCCTGTTGAATGGGACCAACCTCCGAATCCCAAGGCCTCCTGACTTAAGAGGCTTGCAGACCTGCTCCCACCGAACAAGATGATACTTAAACTCCTCCCCCTATCACCCCAAAGGAAGTTGCGTTGAATCATCTCAAGTCTCCTGACAACAAAAGAGGGAATCTGGAACAGAGAAAGGAAATAAGTTGGGAGGCTGGAGAGAACACTCTTCACTAGCGTAACTTTTCTTCCCTTCGAAAGATATTGTTTTTTCCATCCAGCCAACCTTCTCTCGAAGCGCTCAATAACTGGTCCCAGCAACCCACCCTTCTTGAGGAGACCCTAAGGGCAAACCCAGATAAGAAATAGGGAAGGAACCTGTCCTACATCCAAGAACAGCTGCCAGGGAATCCACCTCCTGAACCTCCCCCACATGGACAAGCACACTTGCCCACGTTTATTCTCAAACCAGAAACAGCTTGAAAACAAACCAGGACACATCTCAAGTATCTCAATTGGGACACCTCTGCCTCGCAAAAAACCAATGTATCATCCGCGAACAGTAAGTGATAAATCTCCAATTGATGAACTGCCTCAGGACCAATCTTGAAGCCCCGAAAAAATCCCAAAGTAACAGCCCTCCTCATCAGCCTGCTAAGAGCCTCCATAACAATAATGAACAAGAAAGGGGAGAGGGGGTCCCCTTGCCTCAAACCACGAAAACTACCAAAAAAACCCCGAAGGGGAACCATTAACCAGCACCGAGAATCTGACAGATGAAACGCAAGTAACTATCCATTTCCTCCATCTCTCACCGAAACCTATCCTCTCAAGCAAATAGAACAAGAAATTCCAGCAAACATGATCATAGGCTTTCTCGATGTCCAGCTTACACAAAACTCCGGCAACGCCGGTACGAAGCCTAAAGTCTACACATTCACTGGCAATAAGAGCGGAATCCAGAATCTGTCTGCCCCCAATAAACGCATTTTGAGACTCTGAAATGACTCCGTCCCAAACCCCTTTCAATCTTGAGGCCAAAACTTTGGCAATGGGCTTATACAAACACCCAATCAAACTGATAGGTCGAAAGTCCTTAATATCAAAAGCTCCCCTCTTCTTAGGAATCAAAGCAATAAAAGAAGCATTCAGCGACTTTTTGAACTTCCCAGTGGAATGAAACTCATGAAAAGTGCCCATAATCTCTTGTCTGACCACCTCCCAGCTTTCCAGGAGGAAGCTTATAGTGAAACCATCCGAGCCTGGAGCTTTATCACCATTACAACTCTTCAAAGCCGACAGGACCTCCTCTGTAAAGATCTCTCCAACCCATCCCCATCCTCCACTGAAATAGAGTCAAAATGAAGACCATCAAGTCTTGGCCTCCAGCGAAGAGGCTCAGTATATAGCCTTTGATAAAAAGAAACAATCCCCGTTCGCACCTCCTCATCGGAAGTCAACAGCGAACCATCCACCCGAATTTGACCAATATGATTGCCCCTCCTATGTGCATTGGCTATTCGGTGAAAAAACTTAGTATTACGGTCACCTTCTTTGAGCCACAAAGCCTGAGATTTCTGCCGCCACGAGATCTCCTCCATCACCGCAATCTCAGCGCATTCAACTTGACAAGCAGCTCTCCTAGACCGTTGAGACTCCTCAAGGCCTCCCGCTGCATCCAATCTATCAAACTCTACAATATCAGCAAGGGCCCTATTTTTCCTCCACTCCAGATTCTCGAACACCTCCTTATTCCATATTTTAATTTTATCCTTCAGAATACGAAGCTTTCCTGCAAGGATAAAACTCGAAGTACCCACCACCATATCCTCCTCCCACCAAGTCCGCACCAAACCCTGAAAATCCGTCGCTCTAAGCCACATATTTTCAAATCTGAACGGAGTGCGGTGAGGGCTCAACCCTCTACAATCCAAAACCAAAGGAATGTGATCCGATGTCACCCTAGCCAACGTAGCCTGAACTGCATCTGGAAACTGCTCATCCCACTCTCCGGAGATCAAAAATCTATCCAGGCGTGAAAAGGTAGGCATCTCCCTACCACAAGACTAAGTGAAAGCAGCTCCCTCCAAAGGGAGATTAGTAAGCTGATGATTATTGATAAACTCCGAGAAAAGCCTCATAGCCGGAGTCCATGACCCACCTGTAGGTCTCTCCATCGGGGATCTTACCACATTAAAGTCACCTGCCACACACCAAGGAAGAGACCACATCTCCTGAACCGCACTAATTCAAATGGACATGGAGTGTATGAGATAGTACATGAATTAATTCAAAGAACAATTGAAGGACAGAAAAAACTATTAGTCATTTAGCAAATGAACATGGAGTGTATGAGATAGTACATGATGGACATGAATTTGCAAATAGGAATGGTTCGGAGACTATCTTCTACTTTGAAAAGTGCAATGGTTTGTGATCTTATGGTAATGAAGTGATAAAATTTTAATAAAATTAAAGGGTAAATGATAAAGGAGCCAATTTTTTTTATTTTTTTATTTTTTTTTCCCTAATGAAAGAATGCATTGGCTGATGTTGAAATATATTAATATTTCTATATAATCGTAGAGCAAAATCCTCCACCAATCATGGTGATCCAGTCAATTTCTTTCCAACTATAAATATTTCTATATAACGGTGGAGCAAAATCCTCCACCAATCACAGTGCCTCCTTTGACTATTGTATACCTTCCATATTTTCTTATCTTTACCGTGCTTATATATAGGCTCTTTGTAATCAAGCACAATATATCTGAATAAGAAAAATGTAGCCCTTAGTGGCTCTTTGTCCATGGATGTAGGCCTTAGTGCCGAACCATTTATATGCATCTATTCTCCATCTTTCTCTCTTCCATTTCATACTTCTCCATATTTCAACAGCTAACATACACAAATTTTAAGACTATTGTAGGAGAGAGTTTGACCTAGTAAATGTAGGTTGATTTTTTAGATGTATAAATTAAATGGCATTCAAGAAATAGAAGAAAGTATAGAGACTTGAAAATCAGGTTGTGGAACTTAAAAAGGGCGAAAGTAAAAGTATTCAAGAATAAGATGCTAAAAGGAGAAACATGAAATCTCGATATTGAAATTAATGTAATGTGGAATACTATGAGGGCCAAATGTATTAAAACAATATCAAAATAGGTTATTGGAGAATTTAAAAGGGTCATTCTGTGAGAAACATAATGGTGGAATGAGGAAGTCCAAACCAATATTAAGGAGACTTACAAAATTTAACAAAAAACTAGAAATGCAGAAAGTTTTGACTAATTCAAATATTCAAAGAAAGACGTTAAGAAAGTATTACGTGACACTATAAAGAGTTTACGAAATTTCATTTTATAATCGGTACAAGGTTGGGAGAAGAATATACTCAAACTTCCTAATTAAGGAAAAGCAAACAAAAAATCTAATTATTGTTGAAGGATATAAATATTAAAGTTGCGCCCTCTCTAACAGCTTAAGCTTTTAGAGTAGATGGTAGTTAACATGGTATTAGAGTCAAAGGTCTTGAGTTCAAACTTGGCTGTCACCCTAATTAAAATTGAAAAACACATGTTGGACCAAAAAGGAGGACACGTGAGGGGGCGAGTTGAAGGATTTAAACATTAGAGAACGCTTTTTGTGAGATCAGGTCTTTTAAGATTAAAAAAACTAAGAAACTAATGAAGATGAAAATAAGGGCTTTTGGAGCATATGGTAATTATCTATGATTTATCATTCATGGACGTTGATAAGATCCTTCCATTTAGCAACACCTTAGGATGGCATAGCCTTAAAGTAAGTTTAGGGTGAGGTTCAAACAGGAAAAGTTTTACGGTGGATAGCTAGGCACTCAAGAGACGAGGAAGGGCGTAGTAAGGGACGAAATGCTTCGGGGAGTTGAAAATAAGCATAAATCCGGAGATTCCCGGATGGGTCAACCTTCCAAATGCACCGCCAAACGCAGAGGGGTGCCACCCTCCAAAAATCACGAGCGTGGGAACCCACACCATACCCTCTCCAAGAGTTAATCAATCCTCTTGATGACCGGGGCACGACCCATTGCATGCCAAACAAGCCAAAAATCAAACTCCAACAGTCTCGAGCCACAGGGCAATGCAAAAGAAGATGATCCACTGACTCTCCATCCCTCTTGCACATGGAACACCCATAACTTTGGTTAAGATATTAAGGGGAAATATATGATATCGTGTTGTAGAAATAAAGTTATGGCCTTAGACGTCACAAACGAGGAAATAAAATTCAAATAGTCAAATCCCAAATAATTAGTAAGTTGAATAGAGTAACTTAGTCCTAGATAAATATCTTATTCATTATCATTTTAACCAGTGAATTTGATTTTTGTCTAAACTATTATCAGATCTTTAAAAATATTTTTATAATACCTGGTGAATTATTGGCTGCACTGATGCGCACACTTCCAGAATAATGGTTATTCTCTTCAGTGGTGACTATCACAAACTCTGTATACACTTCTATGTGCCATACCCGGACTCAATTTATTATCTCTGATGCTCTGAATTCCAGATCTCTGTCTAGATTACCACAATTTGAGTGGGCAATAGAATGACAATTCATTGAATACAGGTCACTAAAATTGGGCGAGATGCAGTTCTATATGTTGAGTCACTTATTGAATCCATCATGGGGGGATTGGAAGGATTAATCAATATTCTTGACTCTGAAGGAGGATTTGGCTCTCTGGAGATGCAGGTTGTTACTTGCCATGTTGTTAGCATGAGGAATTAGGTAAGGTAGTTGTATCATGATACTAATTCTATGCATATTTTCAGCTTCTCCCAGAGCAGGCAGCTGTTCTCATGAATTTGACATCAAGAGTTCCAATTCTTTCATCAAAATCCCCAAGAGGTGTGTCTGGTTTTCATTTCCCAGGCTATGAAAGCTATCCTGAAAATAATAGTTCTATTAAAATGTAAGGCATTTTAGTCTGATACATTTTTGTTTCTTTTTTGTTTTTCTGGGAGATATTATGTAATAGACAATTGATGGTCACTTTAGCTTCATGTTAATGACAGGTTAGAAGCTGCAATGCAAAGGTTGACAAATCTTTGCTCAGTTTTAAATGACATGGAGCCTATATGTGTTCTAAACCATGTTTTTGTTCTGAGGGAGGTAAGACATGCTATTTTTTAAAACTAGTTACCATGATAGTGAAAGTGTGATTTTTAGTTTTTTAGTTGTTTTGAAAAGTCTATTTTTGACTCTCTATACCCTCAAGTGTTTTTCAAGAGTATATCTCCTCCTTTACCACTTCTGTCTTTTCCTTTCATTAAAGCATTTTCCCTTCTGTAAAACCTATGCCCATTATCCATTTTGACCTGCCTATCCTTGTTTCTTTTGTTCAATACCTGTCATTATGTACCATCATACTCAAATCTTGCCCGACCTGGATGCGAATTGAACTAAGGCTTGTTAGCTTTCCTCATTTTGCATATCGTCAATCTCATTTGGAAATATATTCAATTTTAATTTCTTAACATTATTTTTATCTTCCACCATCTGTATCAAGTATGGTAAAATAAGTGGTACTCACTAGGACTTCTCTCTGTTTCAGCTTATAGGGTAAAGTAAGTGGTGCTTACTACGACTTCTTCCTGTTTCAGCTTATCTATTTCTTGGACGTTTATTTAATACAGAAAAAAGACTATATATGCTCTAAGTCGGATCTACGAAATCCCAATTTGTAAGACCCAAAGCTTGACAAAACTCAATGGGCGAACTTTGTGTGGAACACACATGATGTGAAAGTGGAGCAATCAGGAAAAGTAATTGTTGTTGTAGGTTTGTAGCTCACTTTTTGGGATTTTGAATGATTGGAGAACTATTTGTTGGTTGTTTTTTTGGGTCTTGTTGGTATGATTACTAGTCACATTGACTTTTATGCTTTTGCTCGATGAAGGAATAAACTCTTATTTTGATGGTTGGATGGCTTAATTTTTTTCCCATTGAATTAGTTAAATCATCTAAAAGTTGATTACCACCAAAAGTTGTAGTCTAGTGGTATCTCCTCTACCTCCTAAAGTGGAAGGGAGTGTGTTCGAGTCCCATTAGGGACAAAAGTGGGTGTGTGAGCTACTTTCCATGGAAGAATGGATAATAATCATCTAAAACTTGATTATAGCTAGCTTGGTAGCTTTCTTATTTTCCTTAAAAAAATTATTTACACACTCTCAGATGAAAAATCTTTACAATTATTTTATTTTATTTTTAAATTTTAATTTTACCCCCAAACACTAAAATAAATATTTCTGGCTCCGCCCCTGTATCTACACCCACACACAAATATTTTGATTTTATGATATGCTTTTGCATTGTTTTGCGCTAAGCACCAATTATTAAAATGCAGTACATGAGAGAATGCATTATTGGGAACTTCCGGAGGAGACTTCTTGCAGTACTGAAGAATGATAATGATCTTCAACGACCTTCTGTTCTAGAATCGCTGATTCGTAGACATATAAGTATAGTCCATCTTGCGGAGCAACATGTTAGCATGGACCTAACACAGGGCATCCGAGAAGTTCTACTTACAGAGGCCTTCTCTGGCCCAGTTTCTTCTTTGCACTTGTTTGAGAAACCTGCAGAGCAACATACTGGATTAGCTAGCGAAGCTGTATGCAACTGGTATATTGAGAACATTGTCAAGGACATGTCTAATGCTGGAATCCTGTTTGCACCACTCCACAGATGCTTTAAGAGCACAAGGCCAGTTGGGGGATATTTTGCCGAATCAGTAACTGATCTCAGGGAATTGCAAGCCTTTGCTCGTATTTTTGGTGGCTATGGAGTTGATAGGTTGGACAGAATGATAAAAGAACACACAGCTGCGCTTTTGAATTGTATTGACACATCACTGCGAGCAAATCGTGAGGTGCTAGAGGCTGTTGCTGGAAGCATGCATTCCGGTGACCGGATAGAAAGAGAGGCAAATGTTAAGCAGATTATTGATTTGGACACGGTGGTTGGGTTCTGTATTCAGGCAGGGCAAGCCATAGCTTTTGATTGCCTTCTAGCAGAGGCTGCTGGATCTGTGCTTGAAGAAGGTGCACCTTTGATACAGTCATTACTGTCTGGGGTTGTTAAACATTTACCTGATGAAGTACCTGAGAAGAAGGAAATTAGGAGGATGAGAAGGGTGGCAAACAGTGTTGGTGTAGCGGGTGACCATGATTCTGAATGGGTGAGATCAATTTTGGAAGAGGTTGGAGGTGCAAATGATGGTTCATGGAACTTGTTGCCATATTTCTTTGCCACCTTCATGACATCCAATATATGGAACAGTACTGCATTTAATGTTGACACTGGGGGCTTTAACAACAATATCCACTGCTTGGCAAGGTCTGCATACTTTTATTTTCTCAATAACTATGATGTATGCGAGTACTTGAGCACACCAATGAATTATCACAACTTATTGACCATTCAATGGGTGTGAAACAGGCACCCAGCTGATCCCTTGTGGACCTTTATCAGGAAGCCTACCCTGACTTTTCACTTGATTGGGAATTGACCATTACCTTTGGTTCTTTCTTGAATAGGTTGAGAAATCAAACCATATTTTGCTGAACAAACAGCATAACCTTAACTAGGGGTGCAATTGTGGCAGATTCAGTTAATCTGACCTCAACCCATCAAATAGAATCCTCAACCCAAGCTCGAGCCCAACCCGACCTCCAACCAGATAGTCCAGCCCAAGCACAACCTTGCTTTTCTTTTCTAAGATTTTGTTAAGATCAGGTAAGGTTCATGTTGGTTGAGTTATGCTCGGGTTGTTCTGGTTATTGGGGTAGCCTCGAGCTGAATTTGGGTTAGGTTAGGGTTGAGTTTGGGTTACATAGACTTGTAATAATAATATTAGCAACAATAATATAGTTAAGGTTGCGGTATGGCTTGGTTTGCCCAACACCAAATTCACCAATGGTCCAAAGATTGAGGTTGAGTTGAAAATTTTCAACCGAAACCCAATGCGAGCAACAAAAAGAGCTGCCCAAACCCTTCCAAAGCTCGGGTTGGGTTTAGGTTGGCTCTCCCAAGTTGCACCCTTACTCTGTGACACCTTTATTGATGGTAATTTGATGCCCAAACATGAGCTTTCAACTCATTGCATCATCATCCTTGCCTTTGCCCAAAATGAATGAGGTCGGCCACATGAATTTTATTTTTTTATTCTTTCCTATTATACACCATGCCTCCTCCAGTATTTAGTTTGTTTAATCATTTTTATTACTTCATCCCATGTAAATTTTGGTTGGCCTTTTCGTCACTTACCTTCTAGGCAAACAACTCTTCCTCTTCAAACCGGTGCATCTTGGGATCTACATTGTATAGGATCATACAACGTAGATTCTTACACACCATGTTTAACATATTTGTTTCTTTTCTCTTTTTCTATTAGAGAGAGAGAGAGAGAGGGAGAGAGAGATTGAGATTTTAACCATCTGAGAGTGTGTCATTCAATTTTGCTTCTCAATAGTTCATTTTGTTGAAGGATTTAAATATTTAAGTTACTCCCTCTCTAACAGCTTAAACTTTTAGAGTAGATGGGTAGTTAACGTGGTATCAGAGCCAAATGTCTCGTGTTCAAACCTCACCATCACCCTGATTTAAAATTGAAACATGTGTTGGACCACAAGACGGCCACACGTGAGGGGGCGTGTTGAAGGATTTAAATATTTAAGTTATTCCCTCTCTAGTAGCTTAAACTTTTAGAGTAGATGGGTAGTTAACACATTTAATTGACAACCCTATATTGGACTGCTACTGGTTTAGATTTTAAATCGAGAGATTCAAAAAAAATTTAGTATTTACTGTACCAGATTGCTTGCTTTTTGTGATTGTTCTATATAAACTTCTGTTTGGGCAGGTGCATTTGTGCTGTGATTGCAGGAAGTGAATTTGTTAGATTGGAAAAGGAACATCAGCTGAAACAGTCTTTCTCAAATGGCCATGTTGGTGAGACGTTGGATTCTGAGACACAGAATCGTTCGTCAGCTGAAACAAGCATAAAGTCCACAATGCAGCTCTTTGTTAAATTCTCTGCCGGGCTTACACTGGATTCTTGGAGTGAAGCCAACAGGTAAACTATAATATTTTTGTAATATCCTTGACACGAGCTTATATAAACTGTCTAGGGTTTGCCAAAACCAATCCTGTTAGAGCCACCGTCAGTCCAACCTATTAACAGTCTTTCTCAAATGTCCATTTTTTGTCATTTGTAACACAGCAACAAAATCTTTTCCCAACTACTTGGTGTAGGCTACAGGAATCTTATTTTTCCATTCTGCTCTAAGGCCATAGCGTCAGTCAAGTCAACAAATTTCATATCTTTGCTTACTCTGCCCATATTCATCACCTTTATGTGACCATGTTACTCCTCCTTACTAGTGCCCTTAGTGATCTTCTTTGCACTTGTTCAAACTACCTTGGTTGATTTTTTCCGCATTTTATCTCCTACAGATGCGACTTCAACTATCTTACGAAAGTGTGCATTTCTAATTCTATCAATTGTTGTCTTGCCATGTATCCATTTCAACATTCGCATTTCTGTCACGCTCACTTTCTGCATATGTTGTTTCTTCGTTGTTCAATTCCATAAAGAATGGTTGGTTTAGCAGCTGTTTTATGGAACTCTTTCAACCTTAGAGGGATAGGCCGAAAAAATTCTAGAAGCATTCTATATAACCCATCCTACATTGACTCTATAATTAACATCATCTCCAATGTCTCCGTCATGGTGAATAATTCAACCTAATTAGCAACTTGTAACACACTGGCTCAGATTACTCAGTAATGATTAATATGATATTGGTAAATTCACTCAAATGGGATATGTTATCTCACACAGCTGCTATCTGGTTGTATTATAGTTGCATGAACAACTGGATGTTCCTGTTCCAGAATTGCAATTCCGCAGTTTTTACTAAAGAAGCTTGTAAAGCTCACAGTTCCTTTCTGACAGAACCTTGAATCTTCTATTACAAAAATTGAGCTAACCTGAGACGAGCTTAGTCTTCATGAAGCTTAATTTGTTCTTTTATATGAATTAGTTGATTAAAGAGAGGAAGTGCGGTGTCCCGTTTGTTAATTTAATTAAAAGATTCCACATTTTTTACTGAAGAATCTCGCAAAGCTCACAGTTGTCTTTTGATAGAACCTTCACTCTTTTATACAAATTCGATCTAACCATAGACACGCCAAGTCACTGACTCCCCATGAAGCTTAAATTGATTTTTATTTAAAAAGGTTAATTGAAAGGAATTATGGTGTTCCATTTGTGATTTTAGCATTTATAGACTATTTTAAATTAACTACCTTCTTGGTTAATTTTAAAATTGGCTATTCTAAATTTTAAATTCGGCTTCCCAGTGTATTTTGCTAAATATTTCTTACAGCATTGTTTTGTTCTTGCAAAATATATTATATGGGCATACCAGTTTCACGTAAAGTTTTAAGAGAAGCAAAGGTAACTGTCTTCTTGGTCAAAAATCTGAGAAGGTTGCTAAATTATCATCCCACAAAATATACTATTCATTTTCCAAAAATAATTTGATTCGCTAATATTTTTTTAGAAAAGTTTAAAGGATTATTTTGGTTCTGCTTCTAAACAAAATTATAATCCTCCACAGCCTATAATGCTCTCCTTGGTGTGATTGGCTACATCTCAATGGCTGCATCACCTCCTCTCTTCATCTGTTCTGGGAAGGAGAGAACATTGAGGTGATTTGGGGAGACGACCGTCCATTTGATGCCAAGGTGCTTATATAATTTTGTTCATGTGTTCCATTGTTTTGACACTTCCTACACAACCCAAATCTATAAAACCTCTTTCGAATGAGTGCTCTCCTGCCATCCCTTCCAAATATACTACTATAGTTCGATTACATCAACACCCTTACATTCCAAGGTATCTCTTTAAACCAGTTTTGCACTTTTCCATTCGTTACGATTACAGATAACATGTACCAAGAACCATCGTACGTATCACTAGACAATATCCATAACTGATTGTATCAGAAGAGTGTGTGTGCACACGCATGCGCGTCCTTAGTTGATGCCCAACTATATGATTCTAATATTTGCTCCTATGTAACCATCTAAAATTAAGGGAAAATAAGAAAACAGAAAACAAAAGAACTCTTGTTGACCATCAATTCACTCGTACTGATCACCAATGCGTCTCTTTCTATGAGCTGTGACTGACTTGTCAGCAATGGTCAACATTCCTATATTACATCAGATGAAAATATTTAAATGACACATTCTGAGAACCAACAATGAACAAATTCTCATTAAACAGTCCTTAATTTCGTTTATTCACACTGCCTTGTTGTTGCTTCGCACTATAATATCAGTTATGATTCTATAGAAAATTTTGCTTAAAGTATACATCAAAAGAATAATGAAATAGTTTATGCTCTTGAAGCCTTTGCTTATATTGTTGTCTTGCTGTGTGCATATGCAAATTTACAATTGTTTGTGCATGTTAATTATGACCCATTTCAAGTAATGATAGAAAATCTAAGGACCAGCTTTTATAGTTAAGTGATTCTCCTGTCAGCCCTGGGAGGTGTTGGGTTCAACTCTCGGTTGGGATGTGGGTATATGCCATACTTATTTGGGGAAAAAGTCTTAGCAAATGTAAAACGCTCTATCTTTTCATTGCGGCTGACAATAGTATTTAAATATACCAGTGACCTGATAATCTTGAATTTCTGGGTTCCATTTTTAGATTGCCGCTCACACCCATAATAGGAAAAGTATCTGTTGGAAAACCCAGGGAAAAAAAGGTCATAATTTCTGCAAATTTTTGTTGGCGTTAAACTCTTTAAATGTAAATGTAAGTTGTACCAGTAAATTTTTTTTGGGTCCCCAAACGTCACTTGGTGTAAACAGTACTTGTTTCCTTTGGTGTCTGGATGTAATTATCTTCTTAAAATTGCATTAGATGATTATCAGGTTCTACTTTGATGATGACTCCCTTTCTTCAATCGAGTGCATTCTGAATTATGAAGCGATTGAATAAAACCAAAAATGGAAAGCTTTCTTCATTATCCACTTATTCCATTGATAAACGTTGTTGTTGTTAATGATGACCATGATTAGATATCCTGGGAGAAATTTTATTTTTAGTCAAAAATCTCTTATTTTATAGTGATTTTATATGTTAGTGATTAGTTAATTCCTGTTTATACACAAATTCTGATAACTAGAAATCTCTTGCTCGTTTTGCACAGATCTCATCTTGTAGCAAAGCTAATTTTCCTGGACCAATTCTGTGAGATTTCTCCATTCCTACCAAGAAGCTCACTTGAACTCCACATTCCTTGTGCCATTCTCCGTTCGATATACAGCCAGTACTACGCGAATTCTCCTTCCACGGCGCTGGCATTACTAAGTGTATCACCTCACCATTCCCCTGCCGTGTCCCTATCACATGCATCTCCTGTAATCAGGCATCCACGTGGCGGTTCTACCCCTCAGTCAAGTGTTAACGATTCAGGTTACTTCAAGGCATCATCAATGCATATCCAGGATCAATTCTATGATGCTGATAGTGGAAGCCTACAAAACATGGACAACAAACATCGGAATGTTAGGCGGTCAGGTCCTCTGGATTATAGCTCAAGCCGCAACAAAGTAAAGTTTGTTGAAGGCTCGACATCAGGAAGCAGAGGCCCCAGTCCATTGCCAAGGTTTGCAGTGTCAAGATCTGGTCCTATATCATACAAGTAGAAATTTGGCAAAACTGAACAAAGGAAACTGTAAATATCTGCTTCTTCCTTCTATATATAATTGGTTATTCAAATGCATGTAGTAGTCACCCAGGTGATATATACAAATTTTGTCAATATTTATACTTGAAAGTACTTCATAGCTTCTCTATGTACTGGACCTCATAATGTAAAACTGTCTTTATTATATGCTTGCTCAAGCATATGACCTGAATGTTTTTATTTAGTCGTGCTCAGTTTAGTTGCTTCCATGAAAAATTCTCATTGGACAATCTCTCCTAAACATTTTTATCAGTACCTTGGCCTTTCATGGTGCCCATGAAGGATTTTTTTGTAATTTAAAGAAATTAAATCCAGACAATATTATTTCACTGCCTTGTTGATTTTTCTTACCCATTTACGCCGAATATGTTTGTAGACAGCTGATGTTGCGCCATTTCTTTTTCCGGAAAATGTGTAAAAAATAAATCCATTATTATGTACATTTACATTTATGCATATGTCATACTAATTTACTTGAAATTCATTCATGAATGACAGATAGATATATACTGTGCATAGAAACATACCCAACAAAATGGATCCTTAAACAAGCTTTAATCACTTCTACTATATAAAACACATTAATCTGCAAGTCCTTTCCCTGTTTGTTTTTAAAAATTTTGTCTAGGTTCCTATCATATTTGAATATGATATTCAATCTCACCCTCAATAATTTCTTACCCAGAGATCCTACTGTTAAAAAAAATTATATAAAAAAAAAAAAAAAAAAAATCTATTTTGAACTTTTAAAAATGAAATATTAACAAAAGATTAGATTATCAACTCTTTTTGGCTGACCTAGTTTCTTCATAGGATACTTACATACCAAAAACAAAAAAGAAAATAAACATGTTTCTGTTTCAGAATAAATCAAAAGACTGTCTAATTTATCTGAAATCAAAAGACAAGACTGACACCGTGCTGTCAAACGGGCCCTTAAATTTTTTTTTTTTTTTTTTTTTTTTTTCTGTAACCAAGCAAGAGAACAATTTGCTCTGTTGTTTTTTCCTCTCTCACATACCAAAGGGAGCCTAAAATCAACATAAACCCATACCTGTTTTTCTAGAAAACTATGCTTTCACAAATAAATAGTAATAGCGTTTCCATTCCTTATAAGTTGGTGCAATCTACACACAACTGAGAGAGAGAGAGATTCACAATAGCTCATCTTTATCATCAGATAAAATTAAACAATAATTTTGATTTCTTATACTGCCGTGTATATAGAGTAAAGTTATAAATACAAGAGATTGGACTTCCACCTGCTAAGATTGTCCACATCTCCAAGTACAAGTACACTAACAAAAAAATTGAGGGCAATTTATACACAACTACTCAAACGAATGAGAGTAGTTGTTATTCTATTATGGATTCAATAACCCATGTCTCTAGAGAACAAATGAACGATTCCGCTTAAAGTAAACAGTTGATGCTACCTGGTCAACCCTCTCGTGCCCTGAGAAATGGCAAGTTTCCGGCAATGATGTACAAAGGAGTGGCACTAATAATTTTCTCTTGGAAGTTCCCTTCGCGAATCCACAAAGGCAGCAGCATCACAAAGTTGTGAGAACCCCTGATTTGTTCGAACAAAGACAAGAACAGTCTGGTTGAATCAACTCCCTCTTTACAAGACGTTTATCACGATTGATCATCAGTTTGACAAGGGGGAGCTTGAATGAGACTTGGCGCCAGATTTCGTTCACTGTTCCATTTGGATCCTCGTACTCAAAATATCGCTTCACCTGAATTAAATAATTGGAATTGCACATACAGATTTTAGAATCAGCAAATTTTCTTCTTCCACAATGCACGATATAGAATGAAGTGATATAAATAAAGAAAGCAGTTGACATGGAACTTTGAAAATAATGCGCATAACAAGCTAGGTTTCAAATATTTTCTTGACAGATAAAAGTTATCACGTAAAAGCAACAAAGGGATGTAACCCAAGTAGACACTAGAAACACGCAAGAAAGACCAAATTATGCAAAAACTACAAATTTATTTCTCCCAAAAAAAAAAAAGGAATGGAAAAAAAATGTACATATAGAAAAGACTAGACAAAAACAGAAGATCCCCTGTTAAATACAAGAGCTAACATAGCATGTGTAGGCATCAACACAGGCATAATGGCGGCTTTACTTGCCTTACTTGCCACAAATGTATGTAACTTTTCTGCTCATCTGCCTCCCTTTAATGTAAGACCTCAGTACCTGAACTAGGAATAACCAATTGAATTTGAATTTTAGGGAAAGGAGGCCCCTCTCAAAATCTTGTGTAATGGGATTGGACCCCAAACTACCCTTTTGTCCACCCATGTCAGTATCCCCGCCAAACTATCAAAGTATAAAGCACAAAGTATGGCAAAGGAATCATCAATCACACTTACCAAAGCGAAAATCCTGAATTGCCTCCCCTCATCCTGGCACAATTTGCAACCAAGGCCTCCTTGTAAACTACAGTCCCAAATTATTTTGCAAACTTGAGCTTTTGAGGGTTTCCCCACATCAATATGGTTGGGCCAAAATCTCACCCTTAGAATACTTCCGACAACAACTTTTTTTTGATAAGTGAATACTCCCCATGAGATGGTTCGCATGTCTGGAGAATCCTTTCACATACTTCTCCACAGCCTACTCTATAAAACATACAAACTTCATCAGATAGAAAATCAGTCCTCCCTTTGAAAAATTCGTGATGTGCCAGCCGAATTTCAAAGTACTCAAATCAACTCAAAAACTGAAAAAACCCCAACTGCTAAGGGATACAAGAATCCTATTTTTCCATTCCGCACTATTTAAGGCTATAGCATCAGTCAATCCACATGTTGTCATATCTTTTCTTATTCATACCACCCACGTTAATTTTTGTCTCTCCCTTTTCCTTTAACATTCTAAGTGGTGCACTTTGTGGTCTTCTTTTCACAAGTACAAAACATCTTAATTGATTTTCTCTCATTTTATCTCCAATTGATGCTACTTTGACTTATCTCAAGAATGTGTTCACTTCAGATTCTATCATTCTTGTTTTTCTATACACTCATCTAAACATTTGCATTTCCGCCACAATTTATGCCATGTGTTATTTCTTTTTGCCCAAAATTATGTCCCATAAACAACGGTTGTCTAATAGTTGTTTTAAAGAACTCTTCTTTCAATCTAATAGGGATGTGCCCACATTAATATACTAGACAGACTCCTCCATTTAATTCATCCTGCTCTATAATTAACCTCATCTCCAGTTTCTCCTTCACTATGAATAATTGAGTCTAAATAAAAGAAAGACTTTTGGTATCTCTTGATCCCCAATCTTCACTGCATCCCTATCTGTATTTCTAAATTTACTAAAGTTAAACTCCATATTTTTATTTTTGTTCCTGCATATCTTAAACCTTTTTAATTCCAGACCTTCCCGCTAAACCTCCACTTTAACATTTGCTCTCTAGTCTCATCAATTAATTCAATGTCATTAGAAAATAATATATATATATAGTGGAATTGCAGTTTGAATGTGTCTTATCAGTTCATCCATAACTAAAGCAAAAAGATATGGGCTTGAAGCTCATCCTTGATATAAGTCTCAAATAATTGGGAATTTACTTGTTTTCCCAAATACATTCTAACTATAGTGGCACATCTATCAAACATGTCCTTTATTGTGTCAATATATCTCTTTGTAACTCCTTTCTTTTCTAGGACCTCCATATTGGATCTCCAAGTACTTTATGATAGGCCTTTTCTAACTCAACGTCAGAGTCCATTCAAACCCACCAGCGTGATTAATAAGCCAAGCTCAAGCTAATTTAATTGCTCATCAACTTTTCACAGCAAGCTTGAGCATTCATTACTCAACTAGGAAAGCTGAGCAGGCTTATGAGCAGAGAGAGGGGTACCATAGATGGTTTACATACAGCTAGCATTACGGGGTATCCAATTTTTTGTAGGGCTCTGTAGGCTGCTAGGCTGACAATTTCCCATCAGTGTGGACTGTAAGTTGTAACCAACATATGCCTATAAAGTTGAAAATAATTTATGATAACAGTATTTTAAAATGCTTATATTGCCGCTTCATGGTCTACCCTCTGAATTTATTTTGTCGAGTACAAAAAAGCCTTATTTGGCTTTGAAATGCTTAATACTGAGCTGAGTTGTTCGCAATCGGCTCAAACTTTCATACACAATTTAATACACAGAGGCCACAGCCTTTAAAGGTGTATAAAAGGCGTGAAAAATAAGTATATAAGGTTCAAAACCTTACATTTAAGGCGTATGTAAAAAAGAATCCTATTTTTCCATTCCATCCTATTTAAGGTCATAACCTCAATCAATCTACATGTTATCATATCCGTCCTTACCAACTCTACCCACATTAACTTTGGTATTACCCTTAATATGGACTGTCACTTTTCCTAACTGGCGCATTTAAATAAGTATATAAGGTTCAAAACCTTACATTTAAGGTGTATGTAAGAAAGAATCCTATGTTTCCATTCCATCCTATTTAAGGTCATAACCTCAATCAATCTACATGTTATCATATCCTTCCTTACCAACTCTACCCACATTAACTTTGGTATTACCCTTAATATGGACTATGTCACTTTTCCTAACTGGCGCATTTAAAGGTCTTCTTTGCAGATGTCCAAGCCATCCTAACTGATTTTCCCTCATTTTATCTCTAATTTGTGTTATTCCAACCATATCACGAATGTGATCATTTCTAATTATATCCTACTGCGCATTCATCTCAACATTCACATTTCTGTTACACACTTTATGCATATGTTGTTTCCTAACGGCCCAACATTCTATGCTACAAAGTATGGCTTGTCGTTCAAACACTATATTTATTGTCCATTGGTGTTGCATGTGTAAGCGGGCTGAGGAGTCAGTTAACCCATCTTCTTCTTCATTGCCCTAGGGCTAGGGATGGTTGGGATTTGCTTTATGCTATCTTTGAGATCCAATGGGGGTCATGCCTGAGTCTGCGGTGAGCTTAATGGATGCTTGGGGTGGTTGTCGGGTGAGGCATCAAGTCAGAGATGTGTGGAGAACAGCCCCTCCATGCTTGTGGTGGGCTTTTTGGAAGGAGAGGAACAAGAGACCCTTGGATGGGGTGAGTCTCCATGGGGTGTGTTAAGATACTCTGATCTTAGTCCTCTATTTTTTTTTTGGGTGCAGGATTCCAAGTGTAAATCTACGGAGATTCTTTCGTCTTTTGTGGATAGCTTGAAGCTATAATGTTTGTGCAGTTGTTTCGGGCTGCATCCCCCTTTTGGGTGCCCTTCGAAGAATACTTACTTATCAAAAAATATATATATTTGAAAGTAAAGTAATATTTGGGGTATAATGTTCAAGGTATCAAAAACCTCGAATGTGAAGAAAATGAAAGAAAATAAGTTATTTTATACCTCCTCCCTTTTCTTACTAAAACTATACAGAGAGCTTTTATTCAAATTTCACTTTGTTCTTTTTTTATTTTGACATAAATTTGATTATAAACCTAGTGACTACCCTATGCTAATTAGTTGTGTGAATTCACAACTGCATGATAGCAGATTATGCTGAGTTTGCAGTGGGATGAGTGAAAGCTCAAGTTCTTAGATCTTGTCACTATGCCCACCTGAAAAATTTTGGTAACTCTCTTTATAAGTTTAAATCAAGGTTAGCTAAAGACAGAGCTGATGTCTTGAATAAACAAGGAGCTGTGCTATATTATATTACCTTTTAGAGGGCACCTTTATCCATGTGATAGAAATCTTTTCGTATAGCTCTGTTTATCCATTATATTCGTATTTAATAAAACTCTAGTAGTTCTGTTTTAAAAAATTAGTAGTAACTTGGCTATATAAGGTGTTGGTGAGTGTTATAAGAAGTAGAGACAGAGCTGTACAACTTCAATTATACTTTATAACAAAGAAAGACCTAGCAGCAGCAGAAAACCAATACAAATAAAAATACGAGATGAGGTGAGTCTTATCATGAGTACCTAAAAAATCAATAAGAAAATAAAAAGGGTAAGGTTCTATAATCAAAATTATATATACTAACTAATCTATGCAAGAAAACATAACAAGAATCAGCAATCAACAGAGGACTTGCCTAAAAATAATTTTTATGGCCCTTTTACTTAATTTAAAGGTGATGATAGTAGCTATGTGAAGACTTGACTGTTGCCAAAAGTCAGTATGCATGAGAAAGCATAATGTCATATGCAGAGAATGGGTGAATGGTTCTTGTTGTGTGCGCAACAATCAATCAACCAATTCATAGATATCAAAATTATGTGAATTGAACTGTGCATTTCAAACTAAATACATAGCATGCAATATGAAAGTAAAATAAGCAATCAAACATAAAAACACAGCAATTTATGTGGAAAACCTCAACGAGAAGAAATCACAGGATCCTACAACAGGCAGAAGCAATCCACTCAGCAAGGTAATACAACCTATGTAGCAAGTTCTGAACTCATTGAACTACCTAATGCATATTGTCCTAACTCATGCCAAATCGAACTCTGACTGTGATGTCCCACGTCGCAAGCGTGGTGGGGTGGGGGAGGAGGTTGCAGGCACTTTTATATGTGAACACCTCCTAAATGCGTAGATGCATTCTGAAAACCGCGAGTATGGAGAGTGTGCAAAGCGGACAAAAATTATACAGTGGAGTAGGGTGCAATAGATGGTATCAGAGCCAATTTCCCCTGGAAATAGGGGAGCATGCACAAGCCCATGAGGGTC